GTCTTGTTCACATTCTCAAAGAGGAGTGGTTTGTGTCGTAACAAACCTTTCACCTCCTCACTTCTATCTGGGGCAGACTTTACATAGATCAGTAGTTCTCCCAGGTGTTTATGGCCTGCTATGATTTCTGGAAGTTGAAGGCCAAAAACATCTGGAGACCACTGACATAGATCTCTTTGCTACCTTGCTTCACAGGTTCTCCTAAGCAGGTGGATTTCTACATAGTTAGCCAGGTTACCTTATGTATCTGTTTCCTTCCTTTCTGTTGCTGGGAAAAGTGATAGAAAAACTCAACAGAGACAATTCTGCCTCAGTACTAGTGGCACCATATTTGTCCAGATTGAGTCTGGATTTGGCCCTTGTTCTCCACTTGTCTGAATTTCACCATGATCCCATCCTTGCTAGATCTACTCTCATACCCCCAAGGGCAAGTCCTTCACCCCAATATAAAAATGTTACAACCAGCATCTTTGAGTTTTCCAGATGTACAAGTCAAAATATGGAATTCTGAAAGCAAGCTCCAAAATATAATCTGACCCTCAAAGTGACAGTTCAGAGCATCTAGCTCATGCATGGCCAAGCTTAGGTTGAAGTTTGCCCATGCCTGAGCTAGAGGTATATAGTGCTTTCTTCTAAACTTGGTCAGGTCTGTCAGTTACACCAGCTGCATGGTGTAGGATCAGCTCAGCGTAAAGCACTCTGCACTCACCTGCCCTTGAGATTTCCAAGGTGTAGATCACTATGGAATGACCCTTGGATTCTAGAACAAAGTTAACTAATGCACTCAATGAAGCTGATAAAAGCAGTCCTGTGTACTAGCTCTGTAACTGTTTAAATCAGCGATTCTCTGTCTTCATTCCTCTAGATGTTTTAGCTTTCAGCTTCCATAATCCCTGAAAATGGGTCATGTTGTCTGAAATGGCTGGAAAACCAAAGACTGAAAAATTGTGATTTAAATAAATAGAATTCCTCTTAAAGTTTTCTTCAAACTTGTATTTATTTTGTGCCTGAGGAGTGCAGGTCATATTGCAAACAGTTGTGCCTGTCTGCTGAGTGTTTGAGCTCCACTTGACAGCCACAGGGAGCAAAGGTTGCTTCAGTTGTGGCAGTGCAATGGCAACTGACAATAGTGCAGTTTTCACAAATCAGGAAAAAAAGGATTGAGGGTTTTTTGTTTTGCTTTTGTTTTTTCGTATGGTGCTACTGACTTAAGAATTCATGACTAAACTTTTTGGGTTCTTTGTGTGATATGATTTGCTCTTTAAGAGGGGCTTAAGTTCCAAACCTCCTTAAGAGTAGCTAAGAGAGCTTGGTATCTTTAGCTTGGAGAAAAGAAGGTTGAGTTGGACATGAGAACCATTCTTAATTATTTGGAAGGATGTCCCATTGGGAAGGGGGAAAGCTTGTTTTTTGCTGCTCAATGACTAGGATGCAGTGGATTCAAACATCGGGGGGGGGGGGGGGGGGGGAGTTTCTGCCTAAACATTAGGAAGAATGTCTTGACAGAGCTCTCAACAGAGGAATATGCAGCCTCAAAGTCAAGTGGATTCGCCTTCTCTGGAGGCTTTTAAACAGAGGCTGGATGACCGTCTGTTGATGGGGCATTGTTTGTGGACTGAATGATCCTTTGGATGTCTTCCAACTTTTGGATTCTATCTATCTATCTATCTATCTATCTATCTATCTATCTATCTATCTATCTATCTATCTATCTATCTATCTATATAAATGCTCTGTGCATAATGAGTTCCTTAAAAACAAAAGAACCAATGAACGAAATCACACCAAATTTGGCAACAAACGTTTCTCAACACAAGGAGTGACCATCACTCAAAAAATTATGATTTTGTCATTTGGGAATTGTAGTTGCTGGGATTTATAGTTTACCTACAATCAAAGAGCATTCTGAACTCCATCAACGATGGAATTGAACCAAACTTGGCACACAGTTCCCATGACTAACAGAAAATACTGGAAGGGTTTGGTGGGCATTGACCTTGAGTTTGGGAGTTGTAGTTCCCCTACATCCAGAGAGCACTGTGGACTCAAACAATGATGGATCTGGACCAAACTTGGCACAAATACTCAACATGCCCAAATATGAACACAGATGGAGTTTGGGGAAAATAGACCTTGACATTTGGGAGTTGTAATCACTGGGATTCACGGTTCATCTACAATCAAAGAGCATTCTGAACCCCACCAACGACAGAATTGGGGCAAACTTCCCATACAGAACCACCATGACCAACAGAAAATACTTAAGGCCATCCAATCCAACTCCCTTCACCAGGGCAAGAAAACATAATCAAAGTACCTCCTGACAAAGAGCCATCCAGCCATAGATAGATATAGAGATAGAGATAGAGATAGATAGATAGATAGATAGATAGATAGATAGATAGATAGATAGATAGATAGATATTATTCGCACACACAGAGATATATTATCACAGATTTGAAAGGGACCCCTAAAGAAGGACAATTGTATGTCACATGTTCCAAAGTAAGCAAACCAGACAATATCCACATCAACACTGACAAAGAAACAGCAAGGAATACTGTTTACCCACAAGCACAAAGAAATTATATATATTAGAAACCAACACTTTCTCGTTACTTTATTTTCCAGATCAACAGACTGGGCCACAGCAACACGTGGCAAGGAACAGCTAGTTACTATTAAATTCTCAATGTAGTGTGTGCTGGGTAAAAGTCATTCTTGTGGTCCCTGTTTTTAGTAGAGCTCTTGCATCCACAAGTTGGTTAATTGTAGTGTGGGGTGTGTTATTTAGTGTATGCCATGAGTCACACTTTGGGATGATGTATATACCATATAATTCTAAAGCTGAGTTAATAAATGGAGGAAAATGTTTTTGTTGATTACGTTAAATCATTTGGAGCCAGAAATGCTGCTAGTTTGGGGCAAATCAGCCAGCCATGCACCAGTTCATCCTTCCCTGTTCTATCTGCTTGCCAGCTGAAGAGCCAGTTGGACTCTTCCCTTCATTCTGCAGGCTTTTAGTGGATTTGGCTTATTCTGTATGAAGAAGTAGCCTCAATTGAGAAAACCCTGAACTATGGCTGATGCAGTTCAGGTTCATGCAGCTGACCTGATAGTACTGGTGAAAGCAGATTTCATGCAAGGATCTTTAGTTAGGATGTGGCGATGTAAAATCAAGTTTTTGTTTACAGCATTTAAAAAACCAATTTGCATTTGAAAGCTGATTAAGCCACCTTCAGCTCTGCTCTTTACAAGAGTTTTGCTGTGTTAGCACATGGGCATGAGTGCTGTGCAACAGAGAATTTTGTCAGCAGCATCTGTTTTTTACCCCTGAATACAAAAGGGGGTATGTAAGACTCACAATAACAACAAAGGCAAATAAGGTATATCTTCAAATAATAGAAAGTGTAGTCCATAGCATGTATGCATCATAAACAAGTTGTATGTTGTTAGGATGTGTGTTGGCATTTCCTAGTGAAATTAGCTAGTTTTGTGTCTGAGAATCAAAGTCATGTAGGAATTTCCTTCTGGGTGGTGTTGTTATGATGTGCTGTCAAGAGGCCCTAGATTGACAGAAACCTTATCAGTTTTGGAGGCAGAATTTAATGTGAAGAGGTTTTCCATTGCTTTCCTATTACGATGAGAATATGGGATTTATCTCAGGTTGTGCAGCGAGTTTCCATGACTCAGAGAGGATATGAACCCTGGTTTCCTTTGCTCCTAGTCCTACACTGAAACTACTGTACTGTGATGGCACTTTCAGGCATCATGCACATGAGTTTCATGTGCATAATTGGGAATTTCTTTTTCTTTTTTTATTAAACCCAGCCATAGCAGCATAGAGCCTGCATGAGAGCTGGTTGGGGAGTTCAATTTCCAGGAGAAGATACATCAATGTAACAGGGATGGTGTTTAGGAGCATTTGGTGATGTGTTGTGCCCTTCTTAGTTAGTATAGCCATAGATCATAATCACAAATCTGCTTCAAATCATGATTTATTATTCTGGTTTGCAGCCATTTTGCAGACTGTTTAATTGTGTGGTTGTAATGCCCAACATTAGTTGGGAGTAATTATCTTTATTTGTTTGACCGTGTTGCTATTGAGTTGAGCCCCAGTATTTATCCAAGGTATTCTCAAAATGCCACGAGTTGTGTATGGGACACATGGTGACTTCACTAGCCATTAAGACAGATTCCAGCTCCTCTCTTCAATCCCAAATCCAGCGTGGTATCTTTCAGGAACATGTGTGAAGGCCCTACTTTCTTTCCCTTCTTATTCTTCAGTTAGGTTATGTATGCCATATTTTTAATACCTTGAAGTGGTGAACAAAATAGAAAAAAATGATATTAATATGCAAGGTTAAATCTAAAACCAGAAGTTAAAATCTGGGCAGGCCAGTCCACTCAGAGCATATAGATAAAGGGATCGGTCATATCATAGTTGTGCCTCTTGGTTATTGCGGAAGTGGAAAGTCATTCCAAAAGTAGCACTCCACAGGTCTCGTTACATCCTCAAAAGGGTCTTTGGATGGATATCGCCTCACCACTAATGTAATCTAATGTAATCTACTAGGTAGCCTGGTCCCAGTTGCTCAAGGCTATTTCTGTTAAGAAAACTCCCCCCAAGGGACTGCAAGCCATTCAGGGAGTAGAATAATAAGGAATAAAAACTATCAAATAATGAGTGTGAGGTTCATAAAGTCATCTTTTTGTTTGTCAGTTTTGTTTGTGTGTATGTGTTTTGTGTGTGTATTCTATCTTCAGTAGGTATTTAGTTGTAGATTATAATGGTAGATTGAATGTAGTCGTGCATTTCTTAGCATTATATATCCCCAAAATTTGTTTCTTGTACTATCATTGCTGTTCTATTGTGTATTTTTATTATTGAATAAAAACACTTATTATAAACCTGAATATAATTTATTGAATGGAAATGAAAACCTGTTGGTCCCTGGATGGTTAACTGCATTTTTTCTTTTTCTTTTGGCCTCTCTAGGTTAACCTGGCAAGTCACAGAGATGTCCCTTCACAACACGAGAGCTTCAGCTCTCCTTGCCTGGGTAAAGTATCCCTTCTTGATTCTTGATCAGCAACAGAAATGTGATAACTGTTTGAGTAGTGGGCATTTCTTCTTCGCCGTACATTGGTGTTATGACAATTCAGCGTCCTCCATATGCAGGAGGGGACATTTGCAAGGAAACTTAATTGTTTTCATTGATAATGTGGGGAACTGTGAAATGAAAGATGAAAGGAATTACAGAATGCAGATATCTACTGTTTTTATGCATTAAAAACAACCACATTTGTGTTGGTGGTAAACTTAGAAAGTTGTGCAAATGTTCTTTGGCAAATTTTGGCAAAGTTAATTTGCTTGGTGGCCTTAGGATGATCAGGGAAAAGGGGCCTACAGCGTGCCATAAATCCCAGACAAGTCAGACTGTGCTGTAGGTCCCTGGTCCTAAACCCCAAAGTCCTCCGAGGGTCACAAGTTGCCTCTGAGTGCAGCCTAGAAGCAGAGGAGGAGGCAGGACAAGATAGTTGGTTGCCATGAGTAGTATGGCAGCTATGGTCCAGACACACTTCCATTCCTGAATTATCTTCAAAGGTACCCCTGCTTGGAACATCTACTACAATCTTTTAAAGTTAAATTTCTCACAATCTAAGCTGTCTGAGATATTCTTAGTCTTAGGCTCTGTCTCCTTTGCCTCCTTTTCAAAACCACTGTCTTCCTGTGGCTGCTAAGAGTAGAGAACAGTATACTTCAATATGAACAAGTTTTAAAACAACCTCAAACACAAATAATTTCAAGTAAGTACTTTAAAGTGAGATAGTAATCATCAAACCTTTTCTGTTAAAAGCTGGAGTGAAATGGTGTGTTTTTAAAGTTGTGGGGGCAGTTGCAGATGGAGCCTGCTGTTTATCTGGCAGGAAGGCATCCTATGGAGTGGGAGCCCTCCCCTTCCCAAGCCCAGGCCAAAGCCGCCTCTTTCTTTCAAGGCTGTGCTTGCATATAGCCAAGCCAAACCTTCGTCTCTCTGGTTAGGAGCCAAAGAGCGGGTGGCACAGGCATGTCTGGGTTTGCTGTGGCTGGAGTCCCGCCTTCCCGACAGAGGAAGGGAGCATGGGCATGCCCCCTGTCCCTTGCTGGCTCTGCACTGGAAAGGAATGAGCAGAACAACTCTTGCTTAGCCTTCTTTTGCGTTTCAGAAAGGCCTGTAGGGCAGAGGCATGTCTTGGCAGTGATGTTTTTTGGTTGGCAGTCAGGACTACTAAAATTTGCTACCTGAACTTGAGCCTCACAGAAGTAGTTGCCATTCCTCCTCACACAGTCACATATTGGGGTGACGGGAAGACATGGAGAGCCACATATCTCAGTTGGGAGCATTGATGCATTCTGTATAATTGATATAATTGTGCAAATACAACCAAAATTGTGCAAATACCTCACAACTGAAATCTCTCCCTTCTTTTAAAAGATCGACAGTCAGGTATGAATTCTGATTAATTCAGGCATTACATGCAGTTGCATGGGGACTGTAGTAGGGCTTCTTCCTTGCAGCCTTAAAGAGTGCCTCACAGGCTCATGCTTAAAACAAAGTTTAGCCTGAAAGTTCAGGCATGTTTAGCCTGAAGAAGAGAAGGCTGAGAGGAGATATGATAGCCATGTATAAATATGTGAGAGGGAGGAGGGAGCAAGCTTGTTTTCTGCTTCCTTGGAGACTAGGACGCAATGGAACAATGGCTTCAAACTACAAGAGAGGAGATTCCATCTGAACATGAGGAAGAACTTCCTGACTGTGAGAGCCGTTCAGCAGTGGAACTCTCTGCCCCGGAGTGTGGTGGAGGCTCCTTCTTTGGAAGCTTTTAAACAGGGGCTGGATGGCCATCTGTCGGGGGTGATTTGAATGCAATATTCCTGCTTCTTGGCAGAATGGGGTTGGACTGGATGATGGCCCAGGAGGTCTCTTCCAACTCTTTCATTCAATGATTCTATGATTCTAAAGTCATTGTCACAGGTAGGCTGTAAGTAACATTCTCCCATGTAATTATGTTAATAACCTGCCTCTGTCGACCTGCTCCTCTGCTTAAGTATTAAGCTGATTAAAACTAAATTACACAGGGCCTGCTGTTTAGCGTCTCTTGTGTGTGCGACAATATTGAGATCAGAGCAGGCTGGGGAAACCATGGAAAATGTTTTATCTTGGTATGTGCAGCTGGACTGGAAAGGAGATTTGGGCTACCTCTGGAAGAGGGCCTTCCTGACCTGATCCTGTGATCAGACCCACTTTTTCGAAAAACACCACAAGCATCTATGAAATGATATTGCCCTCCCCTATAAAGCCTTGTGTGGCTCAGGTGCAAGTTAAATGAACCTGCCTCTGTTTGAAATTCTGCCTTGGAGGCACTTCCACCAGCCTCCCAGAGACCTCTGAAGGGAATACTGGGAGGAGGGTCTTCTGGGTTGCTGACTCAGGGCTCTCAAACAACATCTTGGAAGAGTGTACACTGGTGCCTTCCTTACCATCTTTCTGTAGACACGTAAAAAAAACTTCACTTCTGACAGGCTGCGGTTTGAAGGTTTCTCAAGCGGAAAGGGAATTTCATAATGGACTATGTCAGGGGTCCTCAAACTTTGTAAACAGAGGGCCAGGTCACAGTCCCTCAAACTGTTGGAGGGACGGATTATAATTTGGAAAAAAAAACATGAATGAATTCATATGCACACTGCACATATCTTACTTGTAGTGCAAAACACACTTAAAAACAATACAATAATTAAAAGGAAGAACCATCTTAACAAATGTAAACTTATTAGTATTTCAATGGGAAGTGTGGGCCTGCTTTTGGCTGATGAGATAGGATTGTTGTTGTTGTGTTCTTTCAAGTCGTTTCAGACTTAGGTTGACCCTGAGTGAGGGCCGGGTAAATGACCTTGGAGGGCCGTATCCGGCCCCTGGGCCTGAGTTTGAGGACCCCTGGAATATGTCATCCATTGGTAGTTTTTTTAATGGTTATTTTAGCTAGTTTTCGTTTTATTGACTGTTTAATCATTGCACTGTGTAAATTTTGGCTGTACTTGTTTTAATTTTTTCAAGCTGCCTTGAATCCTGAACTGACAAAAAGGTGGGATATAATTATTATAACAGCAGAAGCAATAGGAGCAGCAAAAGCACATGTGCCATGTGTTTCATTGGTGCCCATCCCAGGATGCAGCTTCTTTTAGCTTTGAATAAAAGTCCTGGCTTCCAGTAAGTGAGTCGTGGAAGTAGGATTCTGTCACAGGTGCCTGATTTCAGTGCTGGGCAGCTTTTAGAACTGAAACCTTAGCAAAGGGGAAATATGCAAATCCTGTCGTATCCTTCATCAATAAGTCTGTCTTGCTCATAGTGTGTGTAGCTTTGTTTTGGGCTCTGCCATGGAACTGAGGTTTGGATTTCTGCCCTGTGGATGAAAAGTCGTTTTTTGTTCTGGGTTGGCTTGGAAATCTGAGCACATGATTGAGCACAGGAAGCATTGGCATCCACTGCTGTGCCTGTGTGCTGAAGCAGTGGTTCCTGGCAAAAGAGGCTGAGTTCTTCCATTCCAAGTCGCCTTCCAAAGACCCCACCCCCAGATTTCAATGTATTGTTTTGGTACAGATTTCTACAAGAAACATCTATGACCAGCTAATATAACAAGGGGGGGCATTTATTTCTAGTCTGGTCTCTTTTAAAGTTCATTTTTTTTATAAGTATACACTGTGAAGTATAGTGTCTCAGGGCTGGGAATTTGGATATGTACCATCAGCAATGGAGGGAAATTTGGTGGATTTATGTGTCTTGGAAACTGAGGAAAGAAGCTAGATGCTTTTCATAAAATATGGGTACCAAATGACATCTTTGCTTGAAGGCAAAGAAGAGTCAACAGTTAATGGGCATTTAACATAGACTCCAAGCCAGTAGACTCTGTGACAGCCTTGGTTTCTGGCCACTTCTGACCTATAGCATCATAACAATGGCTCAGTATAGATTTATGCCAGAAATGCCAGTATTGCCATCTCGAGGGCACTCAAGGATGACTGTATGACTTAATAGAGAAGGAGAGGAGAAGAGCAAAACATAGGGAGAATGCTGTCATAAGGGTACTTTGCTCCTAAGTGAGGGTTGAAATGTATGCCCCATCCCAATTCCTGCAAGGTTGAGTAGTGCACTGCTGCTTTTTTATACATATTTGGAAGAATTTCTGAGCCACAGTAAATGAAAACACCATTTCACTCATATTGACTATAATAGAGAGAAAATGTAAATTTTCTCTAGGCAGCCATGGGGAATGAGAATTGACTGTTCATTAGAGCCATGTTATATCTTTGAGCTTGTCATAAAGACAGCAAGCTTGGTGTTAGTTCCTTTGTGGGGCTTGGGAGATAAGTTGACCCAGGTAGTGGGCATTAAAAACCACCTAGCAGATAGACCGAGTGCTGTCCAGCCTGACATTTTATGCCTATAGCGGCCGCTGTTATACTCAGGGCAGGACAAGAAGACAGTGCCCTTCTTTCACTTTTGTTGCTCAGCCACTGATCCAGAAAAAGGATGTACTTCTGATTATTATTCTTGGCCACATGAGAGGACAGATTTAACCAGCCTTCTCCCTACTGAGAGAATGTATTTGAAAACCAAGCAGTTTTCAGAGATATTCTTGTAGGAAGGAGAAAGTCTTCACCACTGATGCCCCATTTTCCTGTGTCTCGTACATAGCTATGTAGTCCTTATGAACCATCTAGGAATTTAAGATTGTCTGAGGAGGCCCTGCTCTCAATCCCACCTTCCTTGCAAGCGTGTCTGGCAGGGAGGAGAGACAGGGCCTTCTCAGTGGTGGCCCCTTGGCTGTGGAACTTCCTTCCTAGGGATATTAGATTGGCCCCTTCCCTCCTGACCTTCAGAAAGAGAGTAAATCTTTGCTCTTTGAACAAGTGTTTGGAAATGCAGCGTAATAAATAGTTATGAAATAGAAATAATGAACACAGAATGATTAGATGATGCTGCTGGACAATGATTTTAACAGGATGACACTGGAGATGATATGTTTTTAATAGTTTTAATGATTTATATGTTTTTTATAATATTAGGTTAAATGTTTTAAATTATACTTTATGAATGTATGGCATCAAATTCTGCCAATTTCTGTAAGCCGCCTTGAGTCACCGTAAGGCTGAGAAAGGCAGTCTACAAATGCCTTAAATAAATGTAGTTGCTATGTTGTGAGAGATTGTGCATCTGTGTGGTGATCCTCAGCTGTTCCCCCACTGCCCACATTCAGTGCCTGGATGAATGCAGGGGGCAGTCCAGGATTGTTGTAAATGTGTGTTCTTGTCATGCACCAGGTTTCAGAACATATCCAGATGACAATCCTTAACTGCTTTCTCTTCTCCAGCTCACTACGTCCTGTGAGTGAGTAGGAGATGGGAAGGAACAGGTTTAGATTCATACTTAGTACAAAAAGGGGTCTTTGATGCTCAGGAAGTTCCTTTTAGTTTTTTGTTTTTTTTAACTTTGACACCTTGAAGTAGTGACATTCTGCTTTTGGCCCTGGATAGACCTACCCTCCGTGGCATAATATCCAAGAAGAATTGCATCAGGGAGTGCAAATTTAAACGTTTCAAAACATTGCATTTGGTTACCCTTGGGCTGTGTCATAGGCTGATCTGGCCGGGGTGGTCCATGCTTTGGTCACCTCTAGATTGGACTACTCTACGTGGGGCTGCCCTTGAAAACGGCTCGGAAATTTCAACTGGTCCAACGGGCAGCGGCCAGGATGTTAACTGGTGCTCCTTACAGAGAGAGGTCAACCCTCCTGTTCAAGGAGCTCCACTGGCTGCCATTTATTTTCCGAGCCCAATTTAAGGTGCAGGTGCTTACTTACAAAGCCCTGAACGGTTTGGGACCATCCTGCCTGCGTGACCGCATCTCCGTTTATGAACCCACACACTCACTTCGTTCATCCGGAGAGGCCCTGCTCATGAGTCCGCCTGCATCACAGGCGCATCTGGTGGGGACACGAGACAGGGCCTTCTCTGTGGTGGCCCCCCAACTCTGGAACACCCTCCCCAAAGATCTTAGACAGGCCCCTACGTTGGCAGTCTTCAGAAAGAACTTGAAGACTTGGCTGTTCCGATGTGCCTTCCCAGAATAGGAAATCTCCAATAACAAGTCCCAGAAACACTTTATTAGAATTAGATTGCTGGCACACTGCACTTACCCTATAATCCTTATATATCACCTGTCACATCAGCACTTTTAATCTGTACCCATTACTCTGGGCCAGCCCAGTTTTATTGTGTCCCGGTGTATTGTTTATTGCTGTTGTTTTAATATTGCTTTAACTATTTAATTTGCTTTAAGTTGTGTATTGTTATGTTATGTTTTGAGGTCTTGGCCTTTGTAAGCCGCATCGAGTCCTTTGGGAGATGCTAGAAGGGTACAAATAAAGACAATAATAATAATAATAATAATAATAATAATAATAATAGCCTTCCTCACCTGGTGCTTTCTGGGTATATTCATTGCCCTGCATCTGCTGTGGATGTGAGCTAGTCCAATATACCCAGAAAGCACCAGGTAAGGAAGGGAATGTTAATAAGGTCAGATTTGGTGACTTGGTCACTGTCATTTGTCACTGAGCTTCATAGGGGAGCAGGAAGATGGATGAGCATCCTTTTAGTCTCAAGCACTGGAGACAAAAGAAAGCCATTTACTCTTTTGTACATTGTGTCCTGCTAATTTCCTGTGTGTTTTCCCAGTGGAGAATTCCACCTAGGACACGTAAGGACAAGCACTGTAAACAAGAATAACACCTTGCTACACATTTCAGATTTGGCATATTAGCAGCATAAAAGTGGAATGCTACTCTCTGACATGGTTGATCTCTCTTCCAGGTGAACAGCCTGAAGCTGGGTGAAAGCCTGAGTTCGTTGTCTCAGCTCCAGGACTGTAGTGTCTTCATCAAGATCATCAACAAAATGTAAGAAGCGCCGAGCCTTTCCTGCCTCCTTTCCTTCAATTTGTGTCCACTGTGCAAACTTTCATTTTGATTTGGTTTTGTTTTTAAATGTAAAAGTGAGGCAGATGAATACTACATCATGCAAAAAAACAAAACAAAATCTCAGATAAATATGTACCATGTATTGTTGAAGACTTTCATGGCTGGAATCACTGGGTTATTGTATCTATTTATTTGGGGTGCTTCTACCCCGCCCTTCTCAACCCCCTAGGGGGGACTCAGGGCGGCTTACAAAAGGCACAATTCGATGCCCGACAATTCACAAAAATACAATATACAAAATTACAATATAACGTCAACAATTATAACTAATTAAAACAATCAAACAATACAGTCGCAGCAATAAAATCATATTGTGGTCAATGTTCACCAATTCATAAATCCATAAACCTAATCTTCCCGGGGAGCACATTCCACAGGCGAGGGGCAACCACCGAGAAGGCCCTGTCCCTCGTCCCCACCAGTCTCACTTGTGATAAAGGTTTTTCGGGCTACGTGGCCATGTTCTAGAAGCATTCACTCCTGACGTTTCACCTGCATCTATGTCAGGCATCCTCAGAGCTAATCACCTTTCAACAAAGGATTCCCCCAGGCAGTAACAAGCCACACCTAAAAACTGTCAGGGCATCAAATGCTGATCAAGGTGGCCAATTGAAACACCTAGCTGCAATAGACAAGAGTTCTTTCTCCCACCGTGGACATTCCACAGATATATAAACCCAATTTTCCTAGGTTCCTATGAAAATAAGATAATAAAATAAGATAATAAAAATTCAGGAGATAATAAAAATGCTCCTGAATCCTTTTATACTGCATTCTAATATAGTGATCCTTTATTTGATAGCAATTATTTTTGGCTGAAAGTCTTTTTTGTATCTCATGTCTATCATTATTTCTTATATGTATATCTATTTTAGTTGAGTTGAAATTGTAGAGAAGAGGAAGCTATCTTTAGCCATCCCTTCCTTACTTGCCTTCCATCTGATTTTGAGCTCAGATTAACAAATTAGCCAAACAAAGAGCCAGATCAGGTACAGTGGTGCGGAAGGCCTCTTTAATTATCTAGGTTTTGTAAACATGTTTGGATGAGGAGATTTAAAACACATATGCCCTATTTTCTGCACTTGATCTAAAAGCTCCAAGACAAAAAAGATAGTAGGGAGCAGCCATAATACTGTATATACTTGAGCATAAGCCTAGTTTTTCAGCCTGTTTTTTAGACTGAAAAAATCTCCTTTGGCTTATACTCGAGTCAAGGTTGTTTATTATTTTACTCTGTTATTAGTATTATTTTTATTACATTTATCATTTTGCTCTATTATTATTACATTTATTATTTTACTCTATTGTTATTCTTATTATTATATTTCAATTATTGTACTCTATTATATTTATTATTTTACTCACTTTATTATGTAAGCACATTTACATCGAAGAAGTTAAAATAATGGTTTAATCAGAGTTGGACCGCCTTATCTTAAATTATAGTTTTATGTAATTATTCTAAAACATTTAACCTACTGATGATGATAATAATAATAATAATAATAATAATAATAATAATAATAATCTTTATTTGTACCCCACTACCATCTCCCCAAGGGACTCGGTGCGGCTTACATGAGGCCAAGCCCGAAGTACATCAAACAAACATCAATAACACAACATTAATAAACAATCAATAAAATACAAATCATATAAATCACATAACAAAAACAACAATCAATAATGACATATTAAAAATGGCCGGGCCAAATGTAATAGATTAAAATTGAAAATATGCTGACGTGAACAGGTAAAATGTAACTGGGATAGCATTTTTCAGAGAGAAACAAAGGAACGCAATCCATCCTAAGTCAGTATTAAAGTGCATTATGAGGGCATATTGCTGAGAGTTCTCCTTATTCTGGGAAGGCACACTGGAACAACCACGTTTTCAAGCTCCTCCTAAAGACTGCCAACATTGGGGCATGTCTAATGTCCCTGGGAAGTGAATTCCAGAGTTGAGGGGCCACTACCGAAAAGGCCCTCTGATGCCTTAATTAATGTAAATGTATTGGTATCTATTTTTATTTTGAAATTTACTAGTAGCTGCTGCAATTCCCACCCTCTGCTTATACTCAAATCAATGCATTTCCCCAGTTTTTTGTGGTAACATTAGATGCCTTGGCTTATATTCGGGCCAGCTTATACTAGAGTATATATGGTAGTTTGATGCAAGAGAAGCAGCCAAGGATACTGGGGTTATTTAAAGGATCACATATTTATATTGGGGGCAGTGCTTTAAATGTGTATACTTCCTGATATATTTCAGAAATCAATGGCAAATGGTATCTCTGCAGTAGGAGAGGACTCTGCAGGCTTCAACTTCCAAGGGAGATATTGTATTGTTTTTAGTGTTATTAGCTGCTTTGAGTCTCTTTCTAGAGAGCAAGTGGAATGGAGAAACATTCTCTATGATCTGTTCAGGGCTTGTAGGGTGGAAAAGTTGGTTAGGGTGGTCCTTGATTTAAGGTGGCCTCTCCCTGATTTTACAGTTTCCCAGGGGCCAAATCCCTTCCAGGAATGTCGGGTCCCGGCTTCTTGGTAGGTTTGCTGTATGCAACGGTGGGGTGGCCTGCCTTTGCTGAGCTGCCTTGAGCTGAAAACAGGGAAACAGGGATGTGTAGTTTACCTGCTTAGCAGCTAAAAAATATCATGGTCTCAGCTAGGTCAGTTTCTGAAACTGTCAGGAGTTTCCAAAGGGGTGTGGTAGCACTGCAATTATTAATAACTAGCTGTCCCCTGCCACGCGTTGCTGTGGCCCAGTCTGTGTGTATGTGTTTTGTGTCTGTATATATGTGTATATATGTGTGTTTGTGTATATATGTGTGTATGTTTTTGCGCATGTGTAGTAATGTATTTTTTGGCCTTTTAAGTCTCTTCCACTCTGTGTAAGACTGTAGGATCTATATAGCAATATTAAATGACCACTCACAAGCCAGCTTTGCTTTGAAATGGATATATTGCTTGTATCTCTGCAGCAAAGAAAGACACTACTGACTTTTTCCCACCACCACTTCCTTTTATACACCTTTCCTGCCCAACTCCCCCCTCTTTTTCAGTGTTTTTATGAGTGATGTGTTTTTCAGTGTTTTTATGAGTGATGGTCACTCATTGGTGACCATCACTAAGTGTATTGTGTCCAAATTTGGTGTCAATTCATCCAGTGGTTTTTGAGTTATGTTAATCCCACAAACGAACATTACATTCCTATTTATATAGACCAGCTGTCCCCTGCCACATATTGCTGTGGCCCAGTCTGTGTATATGTGTTTTTTGTGTGTATATATTTGTGCTAATGTGTGTTTGTTTATATGTGTGTGGTTTTGCACATGCATTGTAATGTATTTTTTGTTTTCTGGCTTTTTAAGTCTCTTCTGCTGTGTTTTTCAGTGTTTTTATGAGTGAAGGACATCCATTGGGTTGTTAGGTGTATTGTGTCCAAATTTGGTGTCAATTCGCCCAGTGGTTTTTGAGTTATGTTAATCCCACAAACGAACATTACATTTTTATTTATATAAACTAGCTGTACCCGCCACGCGTTGCGGTGGCCAACCTTCCCTCTTTCTCTCCTTCTTTCCCTCCTTCCTTCACTCCCTCTTTCCTTCTTCCTTCCCGTCTTTCCTTCTCTCTTCTCCTTCTCTATCTCTTTCCTTCCTTCCCTCCTTTTTCTTTCTCCTTCTCTTCTCTCTTTTCTCTCTTTCCTTCTTCCCCCTTTCTCTTTTCCCCCTTCTTCCTTCCTTCTTTCCTTCCTTCTTTCTCCTTTTTCCTTCCTCCCCTTTTTCTTTCCCTCCTCTTTCTCTCCTTCTTCCTTCTCTACCTCTTTCTTCTTCTTCTCTCTTTGCTTCCATTCTTCCTTCTTCCCTTTCCTTCTTTCCTTTCCTTCCTCTTTCTTTTCTTTCTTTCTTTTTTTCTCCGCTTCCCTCCCTCTTTATTTCCTTTTTTCTGCATTGTCATTTAGCTTTTCGTCATTTAGCTTTTTGGGGCTTTTAAAGTCCCCTCTGCTGTGTTTTTCAGTGTTTTTATGAGCGAAGGATATATAGATGGTGTCTTGTGTCCAAATTTGGTGTCAATTCCTCCAGTGGTTTTTGAGTTCTGTTAATCCTACAAACTAACATTACATTTTTATTTATATAGACTAGTCCCCTGCCACGCGTTGCTGTGGCCCACATGGGGGTTCTGTGTGGGAGGTTTGGCCCAATTCTATCGTTGGTGGGGTTCAGAATGCTCTGTGATTGTAGGTGAACTATAAATCCCAGCAACTACAACTCCCAAATGACAAAATCATTTTTTTTGAGTGAAGGACATACATTGGGTTGTTAGGTGTCTTGTGTCCAAATTTGGTGTCAGTTCATCCAGTGGTTTTTGAGTTTTTTTAATCCCACAAACAACCATTACATTTTTATTTATATAGATTGTTCTTGTGATATCTCAGAAGACTAATAAAGATATTACATAGTTTTATATTGTTTCTCTGTTACAGGATATATCATAAATCATGGCAATTGTTTTAGGTCAGGACTTTTGTGAAGTGACGGGGGCCTAGTCTGTGAAAGCTCCTGCTCTAAGAAATGTATTGGTTCTTGAGATGTCAACCGGGCTCTTTCCTGGGAGCCTTTGAGGAAGGGGCCCAGGGGCCATTCCAGGCCAGCATTTGGAAATAGGTGTGGCTGCTGGAGGCCAATTCCTGGCCTTCACTCAGTTATTGGCTCTTGTGCAACGGTTGACTTGGCAGGCATTGAGGATGACTCTGGCAACAAAGTAAACAGAACCATCTTCACCAAGGAAGGGATTTCTTTCTTCGTTTGTATTTTTTTAAATTATACTATAGCAACCTTCCCCACTCACCCAAAAAATCCCAAACCAGTATCCGCAAACAACAAACCAGTAACATAACAACAACAAAAACACCCAAGAAAGCAACAAATACTATGACGTTACATGTGTATACTTGGTGTACAGTTCTTTATAATTTACTAATCCTTTCCTTTTTCAAATCCTGTTAATTTGCTAGCTGTCATTCTTACTACAGATATATCTATTTCAAAACATAGCTTGCCAAATATGAATAACTTGGCTTGGTCGTCCTATTATTTCTGTATTTACATTCACATACTGAATAAATGGATGCCATATTATGTCGTCCATCCTGTTTTCCCGTATTAATTTAACAGTGAATGGTAACTTTTCCATTACAACTGCCTGCCAGACTCTACGTAACTATTTGATCATCATGCACAAGCCTTTTGCTGTTTTCCAGCAAAATATAATTTCTTGTCTTGCTGCCATCAATAGCATATTTATGAGCTCTTTCTTTTTAAATTCTTCATAATCATTTGTAAAGTTTGAAAATGACAACTTCACAAGGCCGTTTTCTTTTCTACCCTGTGTATAATGAATTAAATCGTATCCAACCAAAACTTCTTAAATTTGTATGAAATCTACATATGATATAGCACATTTAATGTATCATAACAGATTGAATCTGAAACTTTTCTTCAGTTAACTCACTATAAAGTTGTATCAAGAGCCAGCATGGTGTAGTGACTTGAATGTTGATGTATAAAACTCCAGGAGATCAGATTTAATATACCAGCCATGGTAGTTTCATGCCAAGCAAGTTAAACACTTTATATTTTATGTTTCTAAAGTAACTGAGTGAGTTTTGATCTGTATGGGGTGGACATTAAAATTTATGCTTTAATGTTTGCATATCTATATTATTTATATTTGATTCTTAGCCTCTTACTAAGTTCTCGTTAGGAATGAGTGTCTTTATTGAATTGAATTGTTTGTTTGCCTTTCCAGCCATGGCACCGAAGAGGAACAGACCATTTTGCAGCAAAATATGCCAGACCGGGTTGCCTATGTTGTCAGCTTTCTTGAAAGTAGGTTTTCCCGCTATTTTTTTCTTATCTATTCTAAAATTCTCGTCAAGCAGAAATCTATTGTCCACATCATGGGAAGGTGTTCAGTGGATAAAGCAGACGCATGCTATGCCTCACACAATATCCCAATGAGCAGATAAAAAGATAAAGGCCATATAGATGGAGTGCAATATGAAGTTATCCCTTCGTAATATAAATAGCTGCCCTCTTTACCATTTTTTTTATTCAGTACTCAATACACAACCTACAGTTATTGTGGGAAAGCTGGGAGGTGGTTTTTGCTTGTTCTGGGCACTTCAGAATTGTCATCTAAACCTTCTCGCACATGTTGTGAGAGAAATCAAAAACCTGTTTTCTTTTACCTCCACATCTTCTTCCAGAAAGCTGCAAACACAAATCAGCCGCGCAGAACCTGGTGTCGGAGGAGAAGCTTCTGGCAGCTGATGAGCTGGAACTAGCCAAGGTATTGGCGTGGACTCAGTGCCTGCTATTCTTTCAGGGCTAACGCTTCCTCAAAAGGGTGGGTCAGAAAGGTATACTTACAAATGTGTTCTTCAAGTACAGAATTGTGTATTAGAAGAACAGCAATTCCTGGGTTTTAGCAGCCGGGGAATGCTGAAAAGGGAGCACCCATCTATTCTTGATGCTGAAGTATTCATTTTACCTGGCTTAATATCACTCTATGGCTTTAATTCACAGTGGGAGGTGCCCCCCCCCCTCCCCATAATGACTTCCCTTTGCTTCTCTGCAGGTAGTGATGTTGCTGCTCTATTATGCTTCTATGGGTGACAAAATTCCAAGAGAGTGGACAACGGTTGAGTATGATCTCCAGGTAACTCAAGCCTTCTGCTTACAGCCACAGATAGCTCCCTATGGCTATGCGGTTTGCTTGACCTCTGTAGGCACCTCCCCTCTTTTTTAAAGAATGCCTTTTGGGTGCCTGGTGAACTTTTCTCTTTTGGATCTCCTCAACAACAGAATCCTTGTAGTAGTGGTTGGAGAAAACACTGTAGACCAAAAACGGCACCCCGCTACCTAGAGTGAGGGATGCAGGAATCAGACAGTACTATTGAGTTGACCTTGTCTTATATTTATTGCACATGAGAAGTGAGTTGATGTCCATGAAAGGCTCATGCTAAGATGAAACAGTCAGAAAGAAGCTGCAGGATTTCTCCATCCTCTCTTATATCTGGAGATGGCCACAGTATTTTGGCACAAGAGGAAGAAAATCCCACAAGTAGTCTTTTCTTTCTCTGGCAGTACAAATCCATGATCATGGAGAATAAAATCTTCTGGGGAGGCTCTGCTCTCGGTCCTGCCTCTGTCGCAAGTCTGGTTGGCGGGGACGAGAGACAGGGCCTTCTTAGTGGTGGCTCCTTGGCTCTGAAACTCCCTCCCCAGTGAGATTAGATTAGTGCCCTCCCTCCTGACCTTTAGAAAGAGAACAAAGACATGGTAGTGGGATCAAGCCTTTGGCTAGTAAAATTAATAATTAAGGAACACGTGCAATGACTATCGGAATGACTATGGTGTACGCTTTTTTTGGATTATGTGATTTTAATATTTATACTAGGATGATTTTAATGCTTTGTCTGAATGTTTAAATTTTGTTTATGTCTTATGATAATTGGTTTTAATTCATAATATATTGTAAATTGCCTCGAGTCCCCCCAGGAATGAGAAAGGCAGTATATAAATACACTAACTGTACCCGCCACGCGTTGCTGTGGCCAACCTTCCCTCTTTCTCTCCTTTCCCTTCTTCCTTCATTCCCTCTTTCCTTTCTTCTTCTCCTGTCTCTTTTCTTCCTTCTCTCTTTCCTTCCCTCCCTCTTTCTCTACATCTTCCCCTTCCTTCGCTCCCTCTTTCCTTCCTTCTTTCCCTTTTTTCTTTCCTTCTCTCCTTCCTTCCTTCTCTAACTTTCTTTCCTTCCCCCTTTTTCTTTCCCTCCCTCTTTCTCTCCTTTCTTCCTTCTCTACCTCTTTCCTTCCTTCTCCTTCCTTCTTTCTTTCCCTCCCTCTTTCTTTTTCTTTCCCTCCCTTTCTTTCTTTCTTTCTTTCTCTCTCTCTCTCTCTCTCCTCTTCCCTCCCTCTTTCTTCCCTTTTTTCTGTATTGTCATTTAGTTTTTCGTTATTTAGCTTTTGGGGGCTTTTAAAGTACCTTCTGCTGTGTTTTTCAGTGTTTTTACGAGTGGGTTGTTAGGTGTCTTGTGTCCAAATTTGGTGTCAATTCCCCCAGTGATTTTTGAGTTCTGTTAATCCCACAAACAAACATTACATTTTTATTTATATAGATTTAATAAATAATGATAAAAATAATGGTGATGGAGCAATTAAGTAACCATTATTTTACCATTTTGTGATTCTTGAAATGTGCAACCCAGGATTGTCTCATCTGTCTGTATAATTAAAGGTTTTGGTTGAAGATATAGACAAGTTTCCAAAGTGGTCACACATTCATTGTCCTGTCCAAGGGGTGGGAGGGGTGGCTTGGCTTGTTTCAGCACTGCAAGCTTCCCCTGGAAGAACATATGCTGCTCTAGGGCACAGGGGCTAATTTGTCATCTGTCTCCTCCCCCACCCCCCCTTTCCCCCAATCAGACGGAGATGGCCAAGTTTCTCAATTTCATGCTGTACAATGAAGATTGCCTGGGTGAGAACCTGGAGATCTTTCTCCAAAAGAAAAGTAAGTGCCGGGTGAGCATGCATGAATCAATTGCAGGGGGGCACTGGTGAGCCTGTATCCGTGGCCCGATCTTCTTAGGTTTGAGTGGTTTGCCCTCCCAGCTGCCTCCTTGCAGGTTTGTTGGGACATGCTTTATGAGTGCCAAAATGTGTTTCCCCCCATGGCACCCATGGATCTCTAGTTCATGAGTTGGTGAGCCCTTGATTTCCTGTGTTCTGGCCTCGGAAGCTGAAAAACTATTGAGGAAAAATGTTTAGTCAAGAATTGTCTTGTCTGCTGAGGAGCAAGTCTTCTAAAAGAGGTCAAGGAGGGTTTCACAAGGAGCTTTGTCACATTGCTGTCTATCAAGAGCTACTCTTCCAATAAAATTGGATTTTGGTGTAGTATTAGTGTAAGGGTTAAACCGCTGAGCTGCTGAACTTGCTGACCAAAAGGTTGGCAGTTCAAATCCAGAGAGCGGGGTGAGTTCCTGCTATTTGGCCCAGCTTCTGCCAACCTAGCAGTTTGAAAACGTGCAAATGTGAGAAGATCAATAGGTACGGCTCCGGCAGGAAGGTAATGGCGCTCCATGCAGTCATGTTGGCAACATGACCTTGGAGGTGTCTGTGAACAACACTGACTCATCGGCTTAGAAATGGAATTAAGCGCCACTCCCCAGAGTCGGACACGACTAGACTTAATGTCAGGGGAAACCTTTACCTCATTAGTGTAAGAGGAGACATGGAAGTGGAAGAAGCTGATAACTGGACATGCTTATAGAGAATAGATAAACTGAGTAGGAGCTGAAAGACCAGAAATAAAGGGGTGTTTAGCCTGAAGAAGAGAAGGTTGAGAGGAGATATGATAGCCATGTATAAATATGTGAGAGGAAGCCACAGGGAGGAGGGAGCAAGCTTGTTTTCTGCTCCCCTGGAGACTAGGACGCGAAACAATGGCTTCAAACTACAAGAAAGGAGATTCCATCTGAACATGAGGAAGAACTTCCTGACTGTGAGAGCCGTTCAGCAGTGGAACTCTCTGCCCCGGAGTGGTGGAGGCTCCTTCTTTGGAAGCTTTTAAACAGAGGCTGGATGGCCATCTGTCAGGGGTGATTTGAATGCAATATTCCTGCTTCTTGGCAGAGAGTTCCACTGCTGAACGGCTCTCACAGTCAGGAAGTTCTTCCTCATGTTCAGGTGGAATCCCCTCTCTTGTAGTTTGAAGCCATTGTTCCGCGTCCTAGTCTCCAAGGAAGCAGAAAACAAGCTTGTTCCCTCCTCCCTATGGCTCTCATCTTGTCTCCTCTCAGCCTTCTCTTCTTCAGGCTAAACATGCCCAGCTCCTTAAGCCGCTCCTCATAGGGCTTGTTCTCCATACCCTTGATCATTTTAGTCCCTCCTCTGGACACATTCCAGCTTGTCAATATCTCTCTTGAATTGTGGTGCCCAGAATTGGACACAATATTCCAGGTGTCTTCCAACTCTATGGTTCTATGAAGGTGTTCTTTTTCCATTTCCAAGCCAAGGAGCCTGTTGTTCGTAGACATCTCCTGGCTATGTTGCCAGCATGGCTGCATGGGCCCCTTTTATTACCTTCCCACCAAAGTGGTACCTATTGGTCTACTCACATTTGCATGTTTTCGAACTGCTAAGTTGGCAGGAGCTAGGGCTAACAGTGGGAGCTCACCCCAACTGCAGTTTCAAACTGCCAGCCTTTAGGTCAGCAGGCTCAACAATTCAACGGTTTAACCCATTGCACCACCACGGCCCCACAGAAGTGTAAAGCATGCTATGCACACATAATTTCTGTTTCTTGCCAAAGTATCTTTTTAACTTCTGTATATTATTTGGCTTATCTGATGCCAGAATGTTTGCAATCAGTGCAAAGTTTTTGTAGCTTCCTGGAGTTGATGATGCAGTTGCCACTTTGAGTACTTTCTGGATTTCCCTTTGGAACCTGATGAAGTAGTTTGGTTCTTGGAACCTCACAGTATTAATACGTTCACTCGTCTTCCTGTTAAACGAGGCATGGGCAAACTTTGGTACTCTTCCAAGTGTTTTGGACTGTCAGCTCCCACAATTCCTAACCCTTTCTCCTTGCCTGAGCTTTGCCCTGACCCTTTGCACGGCCTCCTCTCCCTCCAGTGCCGGAGTCGTCCAGTGTGTCCAGCGCCATTGTGGAGGAGAACACCCCTCCCAAGCGAGAGGTACACTTCCTGAAGCTGCAGAAAGTGGCATCTTCATCCAGTGGGAACAAGTAAGTGCCACTTGCTTTCCTAAGCCTCTGGGAGATTATTCTTTATTCTGATACAACACAGGAGGAGTGTGTATCTGCTTTTGAATCTAAGACAAATTCAGAAAGGGCAAGGAAGCTGAGAAGTGAAATTCCCTCTTGTGAAGTTTGGAAGTTCGGTTTTCCATCTAACCATTTGCTACCTCGTGGATTTGGTGAATCCTGGCAGCTTAATGAGAAAAAAGATTCTTTGTGGTTTTTTGTGTTTGAGGTTGTTGTAGGTTTTTTCAGACTATATGGCCATGTTCTAGAGGCATTCTCTCCAGATGTTTCGCCTGCATCTATGGCAAACATCCTCAGAGGCATCCTCACTACCTCTGAGAATGCTTGCCATAGATGCAGGCAAAACGTCAGGAGAGAACGCTTCTAGAACATGGCCATATAGCCCGAAAAAATCTGCAACAACCCAGTGAATAAAGTTTATTGCACTAGCCATAGGCCATGACATCAAAAACATACAACCTTTATAAACACATTAAATACAATCCAATGCAACAACCCAGTGATTCTGGCCATGAAAGCCTTCAACAATACATTGTTTTGTTTTGTTTTGTCATGTTAGGAGCGACTTGAGAGACTGCAAGTTGCTTCTGGTGTGAGAGAATAGGTCGTCTGCAAGGACGTTGCCCAGGGGACGCCTGGATGTTTTGATGTTTTGACAAATATCCCACTTATACAAAAAATAATAGAATTCAACGTATAATTGCATACTGTTCAATTTCACAGCAATCACAAACAATATTATATGAGTTTTTGTACAATGTATTGTCGAAGGCCTTCATGGCCGGAATCACTGGGTTGTTGTAGGTTTTTTCGGACTATATGCTACTACCTCGGCCCATAGAGATGCTCAGCCTGCTGTGAATAATTTGCCCAGCACTTTGCAGATAAAATCACTTGGATTATCTCTGACTTGAGTAGATATAACACTGGGAATAGCTTGGTGACTAATGGGAGTGATAATGCCCTTTTATACGGCAGGGCACCAACTTGCCTTAAGGAATATATTGTGAGTTCTTTATGGGAGAAAAACCTCCTGGGATGCCACTCAGTTGGTCTTGTGGGTTTAACTTTTATGAATTGATTATCTATGGATTAAATAAATATGGTTTCTTTAGGAATGTCTAGGTCCTCCATCACAATGCTATGGTCAACATTTGACAGAAGTTGACTATTGAGTTGCGAATGTAAACATCCCCTGTGAGGTTAGAATTGGTGGCCCCTGAAGATATGCAGGAAGTGGTGCAAGTATCACCTCTTTACCTGGTCTTCAGCAATTAAGTAAATATGATGTCTTTGGAATATATTAGAGGGCTCTGACATTTTTGAGAAAACACATTGGATCTGAAGAGGTAAATAATTGTAAACACTTGTTTCATTTTCACCACTGTAAGGTTCACCCCTTTGATTTTAGGAAAGGTTTTATACAGATATCTTAAGACAAAACTTAAAATGAGCTTCATGGGCACATAGTTGTTCTGTTCTTCCCTCAGGTCACTCCCTGGCTCCTCTCCTTCTCCCATCGGTGACATCATGCAGACACCTCAGTTTCAGTTGAGGAGGCTGAAGAATCTTCTGGAAGCGGAGAGAGAAAACCGAGATGAGCTGGAACACGAGTTGGCGGAGAATCGGAAGCTCATCGATGAGAAAGGTGAGGGAGTGGATTGCGGCTGAGGGCGGGGAGGCCTTCTTAGCAGACTCTCTCTCTTGGAAACTGATGGGTCACTCTGAGATTGTGCCTCTTTGGTGGAGCACCCTTGCATTTCTGACATAATTTGAAAGCTGTGCATATCCAGCATCTATGTTTCTGCACCACAAGTGTTCAAGCTGTTCAGTTTTTCATCAAATTCTGGTCAACTCGCTTGGGAGAACATTCTTTGCTGCCATCCAGAGCAGTACTTGTGCTGGTACAGCTGTACCAGAAGCTCCCACTTTATTTGCCTTGTATTAAGTGTTTGCTTGCAGCCCAAGGCTTGGAATTCCGCAGAAGGGTGACTTCCTGTTAAAGTTTGCAGTTATAGGGCAGGCCCCCGTCCATCATCGTTAAGTTTGGTTCCGCCCCCTGTTTAGGACAACTGAAAAGGGAAGGGAGCCATTTTCAGTCAGTCTCAGCAAGGAAAGTCAATGTACAGGACGTATACAGACTTCTCCTGTACAAAGGCTTCAACCCTTAAGACTTCCCGGGGAGAACAGTCTTAAGAGCAAAAGGATTCCCAAAGATTCCCAGGGAAACAGCCCTAAAGCTCTGAGGAATTTCGGAGGGAAAAACAGCTTTGAATATCTAAGAACTCCAGCTGAAGTGACTACAGGCCTACTGGTAGGTCCACTCGGTGCTTTGAGACGCAGTTCAACCCGGTAGTGGAGCCCACATCAGTTAGGTTTAGGTTCACAGTTAGCCTGGGAGAAGTTTGGAAAGGGATTTTCCTTTAGAGTAAAGTAACAGAAGCCACCAGTTGCACAAAAGCCTGGAAGCATTTGTTTAACCTTTTGAAGACAAAGGAAGTTTCTGTTGATTGTTCACCAATAAAAGACTTTGTTATATTTCACAAGCCCTCTAAAGACTGTTTATGGTGAAAATCCTTACGAATTTCTCTTCGGGCCCCCTGGCTTCCCGCTGGGCTAAAGTTGCACGTCCTGTTTTAAAAGCAATTTGTTTCAAGCCCAGCGTGCAACAGAACAGTACCTCTATTCACCAGTTTATCTCAGTGAAGCCTTATTAGTTGGGCTCCAGGCTCCTCTTATGTGGGTATTCTGCTAGATCCATTCATTAACCTCTTTGCAATCTTTTCTCTGGATCTCTGCAATGCATTTAGCCAACACAAGCACGACAGACAGAAGCAGGCTTTTCTATCTGTTGGGAGGGCTTTGATGGTGTGTTCCTGCATGGCAGGGAGCTGGACTGGAAGACCCTTGTGGTCTCTTGCAGCTCTTAAGATTCCCCACATTCTGTGGCCAAGGTTAATTTTTATCAGAGGTCACAAGCAAGCTTTGAGAGTTCCTCTCTTTTGTCTCCTACCTCCTCATGCCATGCTGATGTTGGTTTCTCAGAAGCAGGGTGGTCTGGGTATGTCCCTCCTCCCAAAAAAGCTCCACCTGGATGGAGATAATCTTCCCTCTCCTCTCTCTTGCTACAGACACACGGATCTTGATGATGAAGCAGCGAATTGACCGCCTCACCCTCCTCCACGAAAGGCAGGCTGCAGATCAGGTGGAGCCCAAGGAGATGGAGGAGCTCCGGGAAAAGAATGAAAGGTGCATTCCTGAGGCCTGCCCTCTCTTCTCCTGTTAGACTCCTCCTCAGCTAATTGCTTTCATCCTCCTCTGCTTGGTTTGAAGCTGATCTGTTTGCTGAATGTCTAGCGCCCAATTGAGGGCAACTGTTCAGCCCATTTGGGAAGCTAGACAGATTATTGGGGAATGTATTGGCCAGCAGTGAAGAATCTCTGCCCTCTAGGTCATTTTGTGCTCCTTAGATCTCCATGGCTTCTCTTAAATTGTATTGGGGGGTGGTGGTTGTGATTGTGGTTGTTGTTGTTGTTGTTGTTATTATTTTTATATTTATACTCTGCTCTATTTCTCCAAAAATCATTGATGCTGATGTTTATGTTTTATGTTAGATATAATTTATATGATAGGCTGTGTTTTATTTAACTTTAAATGTTATATTATAACTTGCTTTTATATGTTGGGTTATTTTGAATCCCCTTGGGGAGAGAGGGCACATTATTATTATTATTATTATTATTATTATTATTATTATTACTATTACTATTATTATTTATTTGTTTTGTCATATTTGATTTGGGTTATTGTAGGTTTTTTAGGGCTATATGGCCATTTTCTAGATGCCTCTAGAACATGGCCATATATCCTGAAAAAACCTACAACAACCCAGTGATTCCGGCCATGAAAGCCTTCGACAATACATATTTGCATTTGTAGTTGTATTGAGACATTGAATGTTTGCCCTTTTATGTTTGTTGGAATCTGCCCCGAGTCCCCTCGGGGAGATAGAGTAGAATATAAATAAAAGTCGTATATATTATTATATATCAGCATACAATTTAAAATATACAAATATGTAAACATTAAAACAGGATTAAATATAAACAGTATTTTAAATGCATGACCTCCTGGGGAGAGTTTGACTGTTCAGAAGCAAGAATATAACATGTTGAAGCCCCCTTCTCTGCCTCGGGGGACATATGCAAGGAAACACCTCTCACTTGCAGGTGGTTTCAGGATGTCACACATGTCAGAAGTTGTGCTCCAAGGCCCCACCTTCTTTGGTCAGAATAATGCCCATCTCCCCTCTGTTTTTTCAGTCTCCTCATGCGCCTGCACGAAACACTCAAACAGTGTCAAGACCTGAAAACAGAAAAGGGCCAGATGGACCGGAAAATCAACCAGCTCTCAGAAGAGAACGGGGACCTCTCTTTCAGGGTACAGAAGCATCTTTTTCTGCCTTTGCACCATAGTCTCATAACTAGGAAAGGCAGGCTGGGGATGAAATCCTGTATTAGACTCCTGTGGAAGACGCGAAGGCTGTTTCCATCACCTTCCACTTCAGTCTAAGGTTAGAAACTCAGATAGTCCTCAGGCTCCTTGTTTTACCTTAGAGTGGTCTGATAGCAAACATGACAGGGACTTCTGCTCTTGTTGATTAAACTGGCAACTTGCAGAAATGTACCATGCTCTCTTGCATAAAGGCACAGTGAACTGTGAGTAGATGTATCACTCTGTGATCAACATAAATGAACACACGACGCATCTTTGCCCAGTCAGACCACTGGCCCAGTTAGCCCAGATTCCTGTTTGTAAACATTTTCTGCAACAGCACTCATGCCTTCATGCTGTGAAGTGGACTTCCTCCAAAATCAGGATGAGAGAACCCTCTCATGTTGGACTCTGCATCTGTCAGCCCCATGAGAGTTGAAGCTCAGTGACACTTGGAGGCCCACAGCTTCTCTATCTCTGCCCTAGACCCTATATAGTCATTTGCCTTGTGTAATTCTAGTTTTATTTTTCTTCTAAAGAGCTTTGTTCCTCTGGTTGGTATCCTGTGCTTTTGGAGGGCCAGGGGTGGAGCGTATCCATGCTAAAGATGAAGATAGACAACATCTATTCTGGTTTGTTTGCTTTCTAAATCCAGCTTCGAGAGTTTTCTCGCACCCTTACGGAACTTCAAGGCGCCATGAATGAGCTCTCGGAGGAACACGATAAAGCCCTGAGGGAATGGGAGGAGAGGAGAAGCCGCCTGGAAACTGAGCTGCACGGCACCCTCGGCGAGAAGGTCAGTAGGCAAAGAGGGCGAGGGAAAACCTTTGGAGAATAGGCTGACCTACTGATGTGTTGACTTATTTAGAACTGATGGACTGCCCTTGGATAATGATTTAAATTGGTGACCGCTGACTTATTTGTTGTCTGTTTTTATATTGTTTTTATATCGTTTATACGGTTTTATACCGTTTATACTGTGTTATATTGTTATTATTATTACATTGCTGTTAATTGTATATTTATGTTTTGATGTGGGCACCATGGGGTGCCACTTTGTTAGCCGTCCTGAGTCCCTCTGCGGAGGTTGAGAAAGGACGGGATAGAAAAGCCCTAAATAAATAAATAATAATAAATGAAACCTTTGCTCAGGGGTACAGCTGTACCGGCACAGTATCAGAAACTAGAGCTGATGTGGTCTATCTAATGCAATTTTCTGAATTGGCGCCCCAAATAACCAAACCAAATCTAAAGTTGACTGATTCGTAACCCTTTTGGTATTAATGTTGGAGAGTGGTCCCTGGTCAAAGTGGTCACTGATCAAAAAAAGGTTGGAAACCTGTGCACAAGAGAGAGAGGCAGGCTCTACCTCTGCTCCCTGCATCACTCAACCGTTGTAAAAAGAAGTAACAGATGGAACAGCAAGAAGGAGGTGAAACCATTGCTATCTCCTCCACTTCCCTAGAGCAAAAAAAAGCTGTGCGTGTGTGGATTTCTCTCCAACAGCCAAATAAACTTACAGCCCTCTGCAGTGGTTGGGGGTGCATGGGTTTGTGGGGTCCCTGGTTCCGTCCTTTCACTGCTCTCCCTGCATTCTTCCCTAGAGATCCTTAGAGGAGAAGGTGGAGATCCTGCAGGGGAAGATCTCCCTCCTGGAGGATCAGTTCACCAAGCTAAAGGAGAGCATGTCTCTGCCAGAGAAAGGCGAGGTCATGAGTGATGTCTTAAAGGTAAGAGGGTAGCAACCATGGGGTTGGCCTGGGAGAGAGGGGTCACTCTCAGAGGCTAGGGAGGGGCAGAGGCAGGTTTGGTATGGAAGTCTATCATGGGGGCAATGCCAAAAACCTGTTGCAACTCAGGGTAGGCTTTACCTTGCTTCCAAATACTAACACAAAAGAGCTGTAGTTTTATAGTTTATTGAGGAAAAAATCCAAGTCAAAACAAAGAGTAAGCATTGCAAAGTTCCAAAGATTGAGGTTAAAAGCAGGATACAGTTCCAAAGATCTTCAGGTAAAAGCAGGAGACATAATCCTATTGGCAAAGTTCAAACCAGAGTCCCAGGAACAAGCAAGGAAACATTTGCCCCCAAGAATCCCAATGCAAGAAGTCCCAAGCGTCCTGCTCCAGACTAAGATTATTCCATGAAGCTTTCAGGCTAATAAGCTACGTTGAACTGACAGTTTCAAACCAGAGTCCCAGGTACAAGCAAGGAAACATTTGCCTCAAGAATCCCAACGCAAGAAGTCCTAAGCGTCCTGCTCCAGACTAAGATTATTCCATGAAGCTTTCAGGCTAATAAGCTACGTTGAACTGACAGTTTCGCTTCCTTTGTGAGAAGCCTAAATAGCATTTTCTAATCATGAAAACATCCTGCTCTCACAGTGGTCCCATGCCCTTTCCCCGACCTGGCCTCTTGTCTACAGATCAAGGCCTTCCCTATCAGTGTGGGAAGACACCTGGGTGCTAACTCCCTTATTGGCATTCCTTTCCTGTGAGAACCGCTTGCTAAAATCTCCCCTGTCTGTGAAAGCCCCGAGCTGAGGCACAGAAAAACAGCCAGGAATCTGAATCCCATCACTCTTATCACACTGGGCCACAACAAAACCTTACTGAGAATTCCCAGTCTCCCAGATCAAACCCAAAAAGGGTTTGCTGACAGTTGCTCTTCACCCTAGAGAAAATGGTCAAGTGGGTTGCTGTTGTCCTCGACCCGGTTCTTCTCAGTGTCATTATAAATGACCTGGAAGAAACTGGTGATGCTCATCAAATGTGTATATGACATTAATCTGGGACTGTAACTAATACACTCAGATCTCCACATTTGTGGGTTTGGCTTTCGGGAAGCTAATTACAAATATTCTGTCTCAACAAATAATTTAATTTCTTTTAACCTAATGATTTATCTATTGTTTTAAACCAGGGGTCCTCAAACTTTTTAAACAGAAGGCCAGGTCACAGTCCCTCAAACTGTTGGAGGGCCGGATTATAATTTGAAGGAAAAAAAAACATAAATGAATTCCTATGCACATTGCACATATCGTATTTGTGCTGCAAGAAAACATTTGAAAACAATACAATCATTAAAATGGAGAACTTCTTAACAAATTTAAACTTACTTGTATTTCAATGGAAAGTGTGGGCCTGCTTTTGGCTGATGAGATAGGGTTGTTGTTGTTGTTGTTGTTGTTGTTGTTGTGTGCTTTCAAGTCGTTTCAGTCTTAGGTTGACCCTGAGCGAGGGCCAAGTAAATGACCCTGGAGGTCCGTATCCAGCCCCCGGGCCTTAGTTTGAGGACCCCTGTTTTAAACTATTGTTATATTGTTGTTTGTTTGTATTTATGGCATCAAATTGTTGCTGAATGTAAGCCGTCGTGAGTCCCCCTTCAGGGGTTGAGAAGGATGGAATAGAAATGCCAAAAATTAATAATAATAATAATAATAATAATAATAATAATTTAAGCAATGGTCTTTAGATTTAGATTTCCGCTCCCAGCAGGGGCTTTTGGAAGGGACAGTGTGAGAATGGAACTGTGATTTTCCTTGGTTAGCCAGTCCACACTCTGTATGGCCAGCTTCTGCTGCAAACAGGAAGAACTGGCTTCCCATGAGTATGAATTGAAAGGGGAAAATGTGCATAGTATGCAGCACAGAAAGTATGTGCTTCTGACATGGGGTTTGCTCTCATTGAATGGTAGGTATTACTCAATGGGGTAAGGGGAGCAATCAAGGCCAAATTCGCTGAGTGCCTATCTTTTTCCTTCTTGTCCCAGCAGCTTGCAGACTTGAACCAACAAGTGAGCGATCTGAGTGGCAAGCAGGCTGAGCTTCAGGCAAGGGTCCTCGGCCTTGAGGAGGAGAAGCGCCTGCTAGAGGTCAACCTTCAGTCCGAAAGGAGGAGCTTTGATGCTGAGAAGGTCCATCTGACAGGCCTCCTGACTGACCTGCAGAAGTCTGCCTCTGAGATCTCTCGTGCCAAGGAGCAGCTGGAGCAGGACCGCCAGGCCCAGGAGGCGCGCTTGGTGGCCCAGGTCAGAACCCTGACAGAAGAGATTGCAAAGCTGACAGGCTGCCTTCACCAGAAGGATGGGGAGCTGCTGGCTCTGCACCAGCAGGTGGAAATGGAGAGGATCCAGAAAGGGCAGCTAGCAGAGGACCTGCAGAAAAACGAGCAGGTGTCTCAGGCAGCCCTTCAGGAGCTGAACCTCCAGGTGGAACACCTGAACAACACCCTGAAGCAGAGTGGGGAGAAGCTGGCCCAGGTGGAAGCCGCGGGCCAGGAGGAGTACAACAAGGCTGCCCAGGAGAAGGAGCTGGCCCTTCGGCAGCTCCAACAGAAGGAAGCAGAGCTGGCTGCCCTTGGCAAGCGGCTGACGTCTCTGGAGCAGGCCCGGAGCACCTCTGTGGTGGAGGCTCAGCGGGAGAAGGCTGAGCTGAACCAGAAGATCCAGGAGTTGGAGGCCAGGGCCTTAGCCCTCACGGCCCAGTGTCAGCAGAGCGAGGCTCAGGCAGGAGCCATGCCGGCATTAAAGAGCCAGCTGCGTGAGGCCCAGCAGAGACTGGCTGAGAAGGAGAGGGTGTCGAAGGAGAACACACGCCTCCAGGAGCGTCTCCTGATTCTGGAGGAGTCTGTCCGTAACACCGAAGGCATCTTGGAAGACGAGAAGAGGAGGGCCGGAGAGTCCCTGGAAAGCAACCTCCGGCGCATCGCTGAGTTGGAGGAGCAGATCCAGGAGCTGGTCAAGGATCGGGACCAAGCTGCTCGGAAGGTGGACGCGGAGAAGGCCCAGAGGCAGGCTCTGGAAGGCCAGGTGCGGGAGATGGGGGAAGAATCCAGGACCAAAGTCCAGGAGCTTCAGCAGCAGGTGGCAGAGCTGTCCTCGGCAACCAAAGGGCAGAGTGGGGAGGAGAAGGTCCAAGCACTGGTCCGGGATCGGGAGCAGCTCCAGCAAAAGCTGAAGGCCGAACAAGAGAAGGTGGCAGAAGCGGAAGCCCAGATGAAGCGCCTCCGTTCCAAGCACCAAGATGCTCTGGCTGAGCTGCAGGCCAGTTTGTCTCTTGCGCATTCCCAGGCCAAGGCCAGAGAGGGGGCGGAGGAAAAGCTTAGGGCAGAGGTGGCTTCTTTGCAGGAGGAAATAGCTGCCTCTCGCCAAGAAGCGGCCCAGAGTTTGGCCAAAGCTCAAAAGGATGGGCACGAAGCAACCCGAGCCCTGGAAGCTGCCACCAGAGACCTGGCTGAGGCGAAGCTCAAGGGCGCAGAGCTGGAGGCCAAAGTGAAGCAACTGAGTGAGCAGAACCAAAAAGAGCTGACCACCGCCGAGTCCAGTCTCTCCAGCATCAAGTCTTCCCTGAAGGAGAAGGAGCAGGAGGTGGTGCAGTTTTCTACGCAGGTGAAGTCCCTCAAGGCCAAGCTAGAGGAGGCCACCCAACAGCAGAAGCGGGAGCTGGCCCTGCGCGAGGAGGAAAGGAAGCGGCTGGCTGGGGAGGAGGAGCAAGCCAAGGCTGAGCTAGCCACGGAAAAGGCTGCCAAGGCTGCGCTGGAGGTCCAGCTGCAGAACCTCACCAATGAGCACCGCGTGGAGGTCTCCGGCCTGCAGGAGGAGGTGGCCAGGGCCCAGGAGCTGGCGGCAGAGAAAGAGCGGGAGCTGGAGGAGCTGCGCCTGAAGAACGTCTCTCGCAGTGAGGAGCTCCGGGACCTGCAGAAGACTGTCAGCAAGCTGAAAGGGGAGCTGGCCTCCGTGGAGGCGCTGAAGGAGAGGGAAGCCAAAATGGAGAGGGAGCTGCAGGGCTTCCTGGAAGTGGCCCGGACCCGGGAAGCAGAGCTAGAGAGCATCAAGGCCACCCTTCGCTCCAAGGAGCTCTCTCTGAAAAATCTGGAGGAAGAGAAGCGCCTCCAGGAGCAGGAGTGCTCCTCCAGCCGGGAGCTCTGCGAGAAGCAGCTGAAGGAGTGCGAAGGGCTCCGGGAGCAGGTGGGGAAGCTGGAGCGGCAGAGCAAGGAGCTGCAGAGCACCATTGCCAAGCTGGAGAAGGCAGCAGCCACCTCGGATCAAGAGCAACACGCAGAGGCAGAGGCCTCAAAGCAGGAGGCGGCGCAGTACAAGCAGAGAGTCTCGGAGCTGGAAAAGCTGCTACAGGCTGCCAAGGCCGTGCAGGAAGCCACTGTGGAGAAGCTGAAGAGGGAGATTCATAGCAAGGGGGAGGAACTGGCCCAGAGTAGGGAGGCCGCCTCGAAAGCGGAGAAGGAGCTGGCGTCCCTGCGGGCCTCTGCTCAGGAGAAGGGCAAGTCCGAGGAGAGCTGGAAGGAGCAGATGTCACGATGCCTCCAGGACGCCGAACGCAAGGCTAGCCTCATCAGCAGCCTGGAACAGGAGATGTCCATCATGCACAGGCAGCTGCTGGAGAAGGAGGCCGAGAGCAAGGACCTGCGGCGGCTGGTCCTGGCTGAGTCTGAGAAGAGCAAGAAGCTGGAGGAGCGGCTGAGACTCCTCCAGTCCGAGATGGCCACCGCCGCTTCCCGGGCGGCCGAGAGGTGCTCCGCCATGAAGGTGGAGGCGCAGAACTACCAGGAGCAGGCGGAGAAGCTGCGGGTGTCTGTGGAGGCCCTGAAGAAGGAACTGGGTGCGCTCTCCAAGCGGGAGGAGGACCTCTGCAAAGAGCTCAAGGCCTGGCAGGAGAAGACCTTCCAGAAGGACCAGCTCCTCTCCGCCCGGCAGCAGGAGCTGGCTAGCGCCCAGGCCCTGATAGGGGAGCTGATGCCCATCAAGCTGCTCTACCAGCAGCTGCAGGTGGAGCAGGCCTCCCAGGAGAGCAAGCACCGGCAGGAGGCCGAGCAGATGCAGAAGGCAGCCGGCGGCCTCCAGGCAGAGCTGGCCCGGACCAAGAGGGAGCTCGCTGAGCTGCTCTCCACCAAGGACCGCTTCCTGGAGCAAGAGCAGGCCGTCCAGCGGCTGCAGGCAGAGAACAGCAGTTACACGGAGCAACTAGCCACCCTCCAGCGGGCCCACGCCCAGCTGGCAGAGGAGAACAGGGCACTGAGCGAGCGGTCCAGCCACGGACTGCAGCGCTTGGACGCTGAGTTGGCCCAAGCCAAGCAGAAGTACACTCAGGAGCTGGAGGCCGCCAAGGTGGACTCTGAGAAAATGATGGCCGCCACCAAGCGGGAGGCTGAAGAAGCCCAGAAGAAGTTGGAGACCATGACTAACAAATATGAGGAGGCAAAGCAGAAGCTGCTGACACAGGTAAGCCCTCCCCAGCCATCCCATGGGTCAGGTAGCTGGGCGATGGGGAGCATAGTTTGGAGGAGGCAGGGTGCCAGCTGTGTCTGCCCTGATCTGCCATGAAGTGCTTCTAGGAGATATTTTCCCTCATCTCTCCTGGAAGGTGGGAAATGAGTCTTCTTTCTCACCCAGCTCTCTTTCCTTCCCTTCTTTGGTGGGAGGCTGGGTGAAAGGAACCCATGAGATCGGTTCTAGATTTGGCCAAACCAAAGAGGAGCGGGTCATTCACAGTTTTCATTCTACTCAGAAATGGTGTTCCTGTTCATGCAATAAAGCACTCACTTTGGGGTTTGGTTCAGCATCAAGGGTTGGGTTTAAATCCCCCAGCTGCTTCCTCTGTTATGACATTGAAAGAACCTACAGAAGAAAGAGGTGGCTTGCTCTCCCTCTTTAAGACTTGTCCCATTTCTGGACCCGTCACCAGAGCAATGCATGCCTCGCTTTGATGATGGTTGAATATCCTAGCCAGCCAAGGTGGGTTACAGGCAATGTGTTTCTGAGACTGCAATTTCCTGTGAAGCAAAAGAGAGGCAGTTTAGCTGCCTTGTTTTGGATTATTTAGCTGCAGCAGCATACAGGGTAGTGTCCTGCCTCTAGCCTTCCCACCTTTGGGGCTGGAGCAAGGCTGTTTAAGATGTGGGGAACCGGGACTATGTTTGTGCAGATGGTTCTTTATTTCCTGGATTGGCATGTGATGGCACCTGTTCATGGGCCACCACTTGGGAAAAGCGCTGTGCCAGAGAACAGTGGTAGATGGCCAACGCTTTATGTAAGGTTGAAGCATCCAAAACAACAAATTTGTCCTTGAATGGGCATGCTAGACCCCCTTCCATTGCATGCACACTTCAGGCAAAGCTATTTGGACACATTGGGTTGTGGGGAGTTGCTCTGAGAACCCCTAAAACTCATGAGGGGTTTACAGTTGCCTTTGTCTCCTACTGTGGCCTCAGTTATGATGTTTTCATGTCTCCCTCCATTACCTCCCTCCCTCCCTCCCCACCCACTTCCCAATCCTACAGGTGGAGCAGCTAGAGGTATATAAGAAAGAGCAAGCTAAGCAGGTAATGCATGCCAGGTGTCCGCTACTTAAGCGATGACAGTGCATGGCCATAGCTGCTGCTGCTGCCGCTGCTTCCTCCCCCTCCATCGTGGCTGCCCTCTCCTCTTGTGAACTGTTTGCAAGGGGGGCTTGCACAGAATGAGCCGGAAGGCTGGTTTGCTCCTGGTCGTGAGGCCTCCACCGGCCTCCTTGTTGAGGGGTGAGGTGAGACAGGGCTTCTCAATCCCTGGACTAAACGCTGCACCTTTTGCCCAGGTGTCTCCTCACACAGGTCAGCAACACTTTTGTTCTCCTATTAAGAAGAAAATTAGCAAAAAGGCCAGCTAGCTAATCTGCTCCTTTCGCCAAACTTGATAGAAGTAGTTCACATGTAGATGTGCCTGGCAGGTCCAGATCACTGTGGGGCACTGAATGAATGCACTCGGCAGGTATCAGAGGCACCGTGCCCCAAATGTAATCCTTCCAGTGCATTCCTCCAGGGTCAGAGTGGGGTTTGGGCTGCCAGAGAATATTTAGGCAGGGACGTTATGGTGAACCTATTCCTCCTGGGAGGAGTGTGGAAGACTCTCATTGTCACAGAGTCTTCCACGTTGGCCTCACTTCTACCTCCCTACTCCCTGGATTGACTTATAGGATCGAGATTTGGCTCTGAGAGAGTTAGCTTTAGAGTACATGCCTGGATCAAGAGAGACACTTAGGCTCTACGGTGGGGCTGGGTACTTGTGTCCAAACATGGATACAGACTGCAGCTCCCAATAAACATTGTTGACTAGGGCTGGTAGAGGTTGCTATCTGATGATCTTCGGAAGGAGGGCTACACACTTCTCTAAAGAGCTGCATGCTTTTCTCAGGCTCTATCCTTTAAACATTTGTGCTTGGTACCTCTTTGTTTCATGATGCCGCAGCAGAGGGATTGCTCTGAGTGTCTGTCTTAACTGGAAGCATCTCTCATACAGGTCCATCTCAGCTGCTTTCTGGTAACTTTGGGAAGCCTTCTTTGAGAAGCAACTAGACTGGGTGCTACTAACGTTTATTTATTACTTATTTACTGTATTTGTATACCGCCCCTCTCAGCCTTCCGGCGACTCGAGGTGGTTTACGTTCCCTGTGGAATTGCCTTATGCCCAATGGGAGAGCGTAGCACGTTTTTTCTCTCTCTTTCTCTGGTCACATCACGCTAGAGAGAGGCAAGGAAACAGTTGTACCCGTTGGTGATGCTGGAGATGCAGAAAACGGGGAAAGGCAGCCACTGCCTCTCTGTGCGGAGAGGTAGCAAACAGTTCTGAGTCCGAAACAGATTGCTGTAGGAAAAGATTAATGACATTGTGAGAATGGTAGAATCCTTGAGTAGAAAGGGAGGTTGCTTGTCAGTTCTTTCAACCAAAGCCCAATTTTTGCTAAAATCACTGGGTTGTTATAGGTTTTTTCGGGCTTTATTTATTTATTTATTTACAGCTTTTATATTCCGCCCTTCTCACCCTGCAGGGGACTCAGGGCGGATTATAGTGTACGCATATATGGCAAACATTCAATGTCAATTTTTGACATACAAACATATACAGACATAGACAGAGGCTATTTAACTTTTTCTGGCCGCCAGGGGAGCTGTCGCTTTCATCGTCCATCTGCGATGCTGATGAAGCACTTCCGCATTCCCCGCATGCTTCCCCCGCTGGAATGCTTTGCTGGAGTCTTCTTTATGGCCTCATAAATCAGTTAATTTAGCCTCCCCACACTTTAATGTGGTACCTAATTTTCCTACTTGACAGATGCAACTGTCTTTCGGGTTGCAAAGGTCGACAACAGGCTACACAATTGGTTGGAAACCCACTCCAACCCTGGCTTCGAACTCATGACCTTTTGGTCAGAGTGATCTTAATGCAGCTGACACTCAGCCAGCTGCGCCACAATCCTGGTGCCTTCCCGGTCACCTCACTACCTCTGAGGGTGCTTGCCATAGACGCAGGCGAAACATCAGGTGAGAATGCCTCTAGAACATGGCCATATAGCCCGAAAAAACCCACAACAACCCGGGGGGGGGGGGTTGTTTTGCTTTTTGAGAGAATCTTTAGTTGTACCCAGTTCCAGGTGAGCTATGAGGATGTACAGCCCAGATTGCTTTTGTGTCATCTCCGAGTGAGAGGCCTCACTTCTTTCTCCCTGGATTGACTTAAAGGATTGAGATGTGGCTCTGGGAGAGTTGGCTTAAGAGCCTGACCCACAGCCTCAGGTTTCATTGTTGTCTGTTGTAAGATTGCTACCAAACTTGGTTTTCCTATGAGACATTTATGGTGTTGGGAAAGGGTCTTTTAAGACATCCTGGCTTCACAATTTTCTGTGCTGACTGAGGGTGATGGGGGATGTAGTCCAATACATTTGGAGCAGGCCAGCTATGTGTATGCTTTCAGCACAGAAGGGAGCCACAATGATGCTGCTCAGTTTGCTTCAACTTCATTCTGTTTCCTCTGCATTTGCAGAGTTGGCTTCTCTTCCCTAGCAAGTTGGAGAAAGACTGCTGGAGGTACAAATAAAACTCATTGATTGTACAGGAACTGGTCTTAATGGGAGATGCATTTAGAACAAAAACCCTACCTTTCTTTTAGTCATTGACAGGCATAGTTTCCCCTGGAGCCGGGTTCTGGAGCATCAATCCTAGCTTAACCTTTCTGAGAAGATTTGTGTCTTTTGGAGCAAACCAGCTTCAACCTGACCAGGGTGTCTTCTTTCAGAAACGTGGGGTGGGATGGGAAAGCAGTTGATTCTAATCTAGGACATTTCTGGTGGGTGTGCATCTGATATAGAAGAGGCAAACAGTTGACAATGGAGACCCTGTGCTGGGATTCGTAGGGATAACGGGGGCCTGGGAAACTCACCTCCTGCATCAGCTTTGGACATTGCCGTGGCTTGAGGGACCTTTGCTTGCGGTATCTCACAGCTGGATTGCTTTTACGTGCTTCAACCCTCTAGAGAGGCTCTAACCCACTTGCACCATTTCTGCTTTGGAAGGCCACTGACTAAACCCTGTATTGTGCTTTGTGAGGCTGCTGCGCGTGGTCTGTGGTGGGGCCGGGGGATTCTGCTTCGATGCTCTCCTTTTAGGAGGATTTTGTGAGTGAACGGCAGAGTGGTGTGGGAAAAAGGGATATGTGGGGGGGCTTCCGCTGGTTTGAGGGGAACCTTTGGGACCATTGCAGTGCAGGTGGCATGACAAGTCTTCTCCCAAGTGGGACACAACCTGCCCTTGGGGGTGTTAGCTATTCCTGTAGCAACTCTGACATATCTCAGCCAGAATGTGGGGATCTTCAGTGTCTGGCGCTTATGACTGGCTAAAGAAGGATGGAAATATATTCCATGCCAGGTGGAAATCCGATGTCCAAGAGAGACAGAGCATAGGGTGCCGTGAGGTGGGGCCTCCAGGCTTGTCTGTAGATCTTTGCCTCGTCCAGGGATTGAAATTGTGGAAGCTAAAGTCCGTAAACACCTGGAGGGACAATGTTTGCCCATGCCTGGCTTAAGTAATGGGGTCAAATTTCACCAGAGGAAGTTTGCCACAATTTCCTTCCTCTGAGGCCAGGTCTGTAATTTTTCTACGGCCAATCGGGGATTCAAACCCTAGTGTCTTACACCATCCTGGCTTCACAATAATATTTATGTATGACAAATACACAGAGTATGTAACTCAGTTTCAAATAGAAGGGAGGGTAATAGCAAAGGTGGCGCCGGCAGGACTGAAGACCGACAGGTCACAGGTTCGAATCCGGGGAGAGGCGGATGAGCTCCGTCTTATCAGCTCCAGCTCCTCATACAGGGACATGAGAGAAGCCTCCCACAAGGATGATAAAAACATCAAATCATCCAGGCATTGTCCCCTGGGCAACGTCCTTGCAGACAGCCAATTCTCTCACACCAGAAGCGACTTGCAGTTTCTCAAATCGCTCCTGACACGACAAAAAAATGCCTATGGGTGGGGGGGGGGGTCTCCTTCTCTGGAGGTGCCCCAAAAGTGACTGAACAGCTCCCTGTCTCTGTGATGTTCTCTGGGAGGTCCTGTGTTGGGCAGAAGGGAATTGGGCTCAATGGCCCATGCAGAGCCTTCTAACCCTGTCAGTTTAGGATCTTTACACAAATATAAATACAGGAATGTTCATACAGTCAGTCCCCACATTCCTCTGAGTCCTCTAGTGCAACTATGGAGGAGGTGGACTATAATATTGCACTGGAGGACCCAGGGATTCCTACAGAGGTGTTCCCTCCGGTTAATTTTTTTAAATTCATTTTTTTTCCACTTTTGCGAAAGGCCTATGTCCCAAACCTCAGTGAATGTGGGGGGCTGACTGTGTAGCCCCCTCTGAATACATAGGCTGGAATGCAGGGAGTTTGAGTTTGAGAGGAGGTGGCATAACCATGGGGCAAGACCAAGCTGAGTAAGAAGGGAGGATAGCCCTGGAAAAAGGGAGTTGGAGAATGTTTCTGTGCATTGGATGAGGAAGTTTGGGGAGAGGAAAGTACATGCCAAAGCAGAGCTTGAAGCAGGATGGGGAGGGGATGGAATGACTGCTTTGTTTTGCTCCCCTTCTGCTTTCCAGGTGGACGAGCTGAAACAAAAGTTGTCTCAGCAAGAGAAGGCTGGCCAGACCCAGCAGCAGAAGGCGCAGGTAAGATTCTGGGGTGGGGTGGGATGCATGAACTTACTGGACGCTGAACCCCGTAAGTGGGACTTTGGCCCCTGCTCTCTTGATCTGAGATGACAGGGCCTTCTCTGTGGTGGCCCCTCGGCTATGGTACTCCCTTCCTGATTAGATTAGATCTGCCCCATCCCTCCTGACCTTCCGGAGGAAACTCAAATCATGGTTGTGGGATCAAGCATTTGCAGAATAGACTGATTTACTGGTGATAAGATTTTAGTGGACCGCAGTGGACTGATTGGGATTTGAACTGGCAAACTGTTTTAATGTATATTTGTAACTGTTTTTAATGTGTGCTAATTGTATTTTATGTTATGTTATTGTATTTATTTATCATACTTTTATTTATTTATTTACGACATTTATATGCCGCCCTTCTCACCCCGAAGGGGACTCAGAGTGGCTTACGAGTAAAAAGTAAATACATTATATTATATTATTATCATAGCACAATATTAATGTTATATATTACATTGTACTATAACATTATCCTGTAATATTATTAGTGATATTTACATTTAATATAAAATATATAATTATAATAGATTATTATTAGTAGTAGTATATTGTATTACATTAAAATATTACCAATATCATATGTATATTATATGGACCATTTGAAGCTTCTGAACAGTCTTCAAAGGCAACCCCACGTAGAGCGCGTTGCAGTAGTCTATATGGGATGTAACCAGAGTGTGGACTACTGTGGCCAAGTCAGACTTCCCAAGGTGTTGACATTGAATAGTTGCCTGTTGGAAGCTGTTCTGAGTCCTTCTTTGGAGGTTGAGAAGGATGGAGTATAAATGCTCTAAATAAATAAATAATTTCAAATTAGGGTTACTACATTAGACTGTAAAGGTGTTGAGCTTGGGGCCCCATTCTCTGCAGATTCTGGTGTCTCTGGGCATGGGACAAAAATGCCTTTCTGCAAATACATTTGGATCCTCGATTCACCAGGCTCGGTTTACTAATGTCTCCTCGATTTTATGAGGGAAGGGGCTTCACCTTCACTGCTTCATTCCAGCAGTGCAGCTGTCATGGGAGAGGAACTAATATATTTATTTATTTTTATTTATTTAAAACATTTATATCCCGATCTTCTCACCTTCGTAGAGGGACTCGGACCGGCTTACAGCAAGGATTCAATGCTACTAATACAAGTTAAAACATCATACAACAATACAAGATTAAAATACATATAGGTAAAATACATATATACCAAATCGCCAAGGTAAAATCATGTTCAACTCAGTCTGCATATGTGGTCACTCACATTGGCCTGTAACCAGTCTCAGCCATTATTCTGGGAATGCTTTGTTCCATAACCAGGATTTCACTAGCCTCCTGAAGGACAAGAGGGAGGGGCAGATCTAATCTCGCTCGGGAGAAAGTTCCATAGCCGAGGGGCCATCACAGAGAAGGCCCTGTCTCTCGTTCCCACCAAACACACTTGTGAAGAGGGTGGGACTGAGAGCAGGACCTCTCCGGAAGATCTTAATGTCCTTGATAGTTCATAGGAGAGAATTCAGACAAGTAAACATTGAGAAGAAAACTTTGGGGGGTTTTCCTCTTTGGACCTTAGAAGGAAAGTTCCATAGCCGAGGGGCCACCACAGAGAAGGCCCTGTCTCTCGTTCCCACCAACCGCGCTTGTGAAGAGGATGGGACTGAGAGCAGGGCCTCTCCAGAAGATCTTAATGTCCTTGATGGTTCATAGGGGAGAATACGTTCAGACAGGTAAACATTGAGAAGAAAACTTTGAGGAGTTTTCCTCTTTGGACCTTAGAAGGAAACCAAGGTTCTCTCTTTTTCTGTCTCAATAGAAACGTGAAGAAGAACTGCAAGCCATGGTGAGACAGGCAAACGAAAAGGCAGGCGAGCTTCAGGCGCAGCTTACGCAGAAGGAAAAAGCCACGGAACATTACAAGGCCCAGGTACAAATTACAACTTGGCTGCCTTCTGCAGGTCAGGGTGGGTTGAGCCTCACCTCTGGCTGTGCTTGACATTTACCCTTCTGGCTCTCTCCTCAGATGGAGAAGGCCAAAACACATTACAATGCAAAGAAGCAGGAGAACCAAGAGCTGGCAAAGAAGCTGAAAGGCCTGGAACAGCTGGAGAAAGAGAACATGGAACTGAAGGCTGAGTCGGAGCGTCTGGTCAAAGAGCTGCAGCACACAGTGATGCAAGCAAAGGAGTCTGAGCTCAGCTGCAAGAACCTCACCGGCCGCATCCGGAGCCTGGAGGCACAGGTGAGGCTTCGTGTGAGCAAAGTTGGCTCTGAGCACATGGCAGTATTAATCCCTGATTACCGTATATACTCGAGTATAAGCCAACCCGAATATAAGCCGAGGCACCTAATTTTATCTCAAAAAACTGGGAAAACATATTGACTCGAGTATAAGCCGAAGGTGGGAAATGCATCAACTATGGGTCAATTTCAAAATAAAAATAGATACCAATAAAATTACATTAATTGAAGCATCGATAGGCTAAATGTTTCTGAATATTTACATAAAACTGTAATTTAAGATAAGACTGTCCAACTGGAGCGTTCAAGGGCCAGGGCTTCCCAGTTCTCAGTGTCTATGCCAGAGATTTTAATGTTGGCTTTGAGCCCATCTTTAAATCTCTTTTCCTGCCCACCAACATTCCGTTTTCCATTCTTGAGTTCGAAGTAGAGCAACTGCTTTGGGAGACGGTGGTCAGGCATTCGGACAACGTGGCTGGTCCAGCGGAGTTGATGGCAGAGGACCATCGCTTCAATGCTGGTGGCTTTTGCTTCTTTCAGCATGCTGACGTTTGTCCGCTTGTCTTCCCAAGAGATTTGCAGGATTTTCCGGAGGCAGTGTTCTGAGTCCTAGTTTAAAGCAGGTTCACATCTTCTTTTTTCTTTTTTTTAAAATAAAACTGTTTATTTTGGTTATGGTACATAACAGAAAAGCAAATCGTGGCAGATATGATCAGGTAACAATATTTTTGATGTGTACATGCCTATCTACCTTAGTCAATTCTCTGGTTTCTCGTCAAATTGCACATCTTCTGAAGACAGAGCAAATGGCAAACATGGCACTAGAGCAACCGAACACAACATGCCGATACATGTGCCAACTAGGTGCCCTCTAGTGCTTTTGCAAGCTAAAGCTGGGTTTTGATTTTCCGACCATTTTCAGTTTTTGAGCCCATGGGCAAACTTTGACCCTCCAGGTGTTTTGGACTTCCACAATTCCTAACAGCCAATACCTGCTTTGATGCCTGCAGATGTTTGGATAAGCATTTGAACTTGATTTCTTGCCAGCATAGAGCTCTCACCTCTCTCTTCCCTTTCCTTTTGCTCCTCTCGAAACGCAGGTGGAGTTTGCCGATCGGCAGCTGCGAGAGCAGGGCAAGTTCCAGGTGGCCACAGACACCCTCAAGAGCCGCGAAACCTTCCGTCAGAGCGTTGCCGACATCAGCAACGACAGCCTGGACTTGAGCGCCAGCGAGGAAACCCAGCCCCTCAACTCCACCAGGTACCTTCCCCTGTCAAGGTGTAAGAAGGCGGAACTGAGAAATCCCAAGGCTTGGAAGGGCAGAGGGGAGCGTGAGTCTTGGCTGGAGCGGGGCAGAGCCGCTGCTTTGGTTTTACCTGCCTTGTATAATAATCATCATCATCATTATCATCTATATTTATGCCTCGCCACCATCTCCTCAAAGGGGACTCGGAGCGGCTTACATGAGGCCAAGCCCAGCGATATATTACAGCAACATAAAATATAAACAACAAAATAACATCGCAATAAAATAAATAAACCAATCAAGTAAAATAAACAGTACAAAATAACATAATGGAAAATCATGTTTTGCAGTGGGAAACCATGGACCTAACTGTTGGAATTCATCCCCACATTGCTCAAGTCTGTAGTCCTCAATGAGGAATGGTTTTGGCTCTAAGCTTAGTATAGACTAAGGGTTTCCCTTCCCCCATGTCTCTTGTATGACGGGAGTATCTGGGTTGATGTAGGTTTTTTCAGGCTATATGGCCATGTTCTGGAGGCATTCTCTCCTGACGTTTCGCCTGCATCTATGGCAAGCATCCTCAGAGGTAGTGAGGTCTGTTGGAAATAGGAAAATGGGTTTGTATATCTGTGAAATGACCAGGGTGGGACAAAGGACTCTTGTCTGCTGGAGCTAGGTGTGAATGTTTCAACTTGGGAGTATATGTTCTTCTCTCTTTCTGCTCTCATTCTGATTGGTTGTTTAAAATGGATATTTTTCTACTGCAAGCTTTTTGAATCTGACTTCTTGTACTTTGTTATGGAGTGTAAGTGCTGTGTGATTTGATATCTCTCTCTGCGTGTGTGTCAAGAGAGATGTAGTGTTTGGATGATTTTTCCCTCTCTTGAAACCTTAGAAGAGATGGGTGTTACTTACTTACTTACTTTACTTACTTAGGCGATCTCTCATTGTCCGAGTAGAATAGGCTTCCAAGTTCAGCGTACTGGTGGTGGGTCCATAGGTGATTGTGAAGCCCTATTCTTGACCTGCATGTTCTACTGCAGGTCCAGACAGAAGGTGGTCCTGGCTGGGGTTGGCTTGACGTGCCTTCCTCTTGGCATGTTTCACCCTTTTGCCCTCCATTCATGCCTCTTCAAATTCTGCAGCACTGCTGGTCACAGCTGACCTCCAGCTGGAGCACTCAAGGGCCAGGGCTTCCCAGTTCTCAGTGTCAATGCCAGAGTTCTTAAGGTTGGCTTTGAGCCCACCTTTAAATCTCTTTTCCTGCCCTCCAACATTCCGTTTTTTATTCTTGAGTTCGGAGTAGAGCCCCTGCTTTGGGAGACGGTGGTCGGGCATCCAGACAACATGGCCGGTTCAGCAGAGTTGATGGCGGAGGACCATCGCTTCAATGCTGGTGGTCTTTGCTTCTTCCAACACGCTGACATTTGTCCACTTGTCTTCCCAAGAGATTTGCAGGATTTTCTAGAGGCAGCTCTAATGGATGTTAGATGTTAGATGGGTGTTAGAGTAGCTCAGACCCAGTTCTTTACCATGAAGAAGTGCAGTTAGTTCTTTATTATTGTAACTAAATCTTTTGTGATTTTTAAGATTGGACTCTGCATGTTTGCCTCCTAAGCTCTGAATTTTTTACATCCACATCACAGGGCACTTCAAGCTTTGCTAGCTGTGAGCTGATGCTCAGCTTTTGTATCCTGTTTGTTTTTGGGTGCTCCTTTAATTTAGGATAGTTTTCCCTAACACTAACTGCTTTGCAGTACACTTCCTCTACACCAGTGTCTCTGACGTCTTCATTTAGAGGCCTTGACAAAGATATGCCCTTGTAGTCTTGGGCCCCATCAGCACTGATCATTAAACCAGTAGTTGAAGGACATAGTTTTTGCTCCTGGTTCCAAAGGTAAAGGTTTCCCCCGGACATTAAGTCCAGACGTGTCCGACTCTGGGAGTTGTGCTCATCTCAATTTCTAAGCCAAAGAGCCAGCGTTGTCTGTAGATACCTCCAAGGTCATTTGGCCAGCATGACTGCATGGAGTGCCATTACCTTCCGGCTGAAGCGGAACCTATTTAAAAAAAATATTTTTATTGAATTTTTACATGTACAGGTTAAAAATTGAAAATTAAAGTCAGAGAAGAAAGAGGAATGGAAAGAAAAAAAAGGCGGGGGGGGGGGTTCATCAACAAAAAAATCATAGAACCCCCTTCCCCACCTTCCACTCTCTGCCCTATTCCCTCCCCACTGTTACCACAAACAACCGGAGAAAATAAAGCCCTAATCTAAGAATTGGGGAAGGGAAGTACTATGTGGGTAGGGCATACAAATAGGTAAACATCAGGTGGGGGTTAGAGGGGGGTAATATACTAAAAGTATCTTTGGGCTACCTATTGATCTATTCACATTTGAATGTTTTCTAACTGCTAGGTGGCAGAAGCTGGGGCTAACAGCAGGAGCTCACCCCACTCCCCAGATTCGAACCTGCGACCTTTTGGTCAGCAAGTTCAGCAGCTCAGCACTTTAACACACTGCGCCACCAGGGACTCCATAGGCAATCCTAGAACCAGTCTGAGGCTTGGATGGGAATTAAACAAAACACAAAGCAACAACGCTCATGAAGGGCTTTCTTTTGTATGTTTTTGTGGGAATTTGTTTCCTGGGTACTGCAATTTGAAGCTAGCTTTGAAGTGTATCCAATTGTCAGTATGGATGGGGCCTTGGGTGCTGCGTAAATAGTGTTGGTGGGACAGAAGCATGGAAGGGCTTTCCTTCTGTGGTCCTCCAGGCCTTATCTGCCCCGTGTGCCCCACAGCCCTTTGGGCTGACCCTTTTTTGCTCTCTTTCTTTGCTGCAGCCGGAGGACTCGTCGTTCCCTCTCAGAGTCTGGGCCAGCAGAGCGGTCCAAAGCCTCCCAGACGCAGCTGCCTCGCAAGATGGAGTCCCTGGAGAGCCTCTATTTCACTCCGATCCCCACCCGCTCCCGCTCCAAACTGGAGAACAGCATGGCTTCCGCGACCGACACTTCCTTTGAGTCTGGGCACAAGACCTTCTCCGGCCGACGGCGCACCACACAGGTCATCAGCATCACCATGACCAAAGTAATGTGGGGTGTGCCTTGGGTGGGAGCCGAGGCGCGGTGGCGGCCCTCGCGGGCAGCTCGTGTGTGCGGAGTCTCGGTTCAGGAGCCAGATTCTGAGGGAAAGGACCCCTAAGTGCCTGGTCAGATGCAGGGGGGCAGCAGGTGTCCCCTGAGAGGCAGCCTTACCAGGACAGGACACTTCTTCCATGAAGGAGCACACATTATTATTAGCCCTCCTGACAGATGGCCATTCTGCCTCTGCTTTAAATCCTCCAGAGAAGGAGACTCCACTGAACTCCCAGGCAGTTTATTCCACTGTTGAACAGTGTCTCTTACTGTCAAGGGGGTTCTTCCTCATGTTTTGGTGGATTATCTTCTGCAGTTTGACTCCATTGTTCCATTGGCAATCCTAGAAAGTATGATCATCAAGTTTGCAGACGACAGCAGATTGGAGGAGAGCCAAGACTCCAGAGGACAGGAGCAGAATTCAAAACGATCTTGACAGATTAGAGAGATGGGCCAAAACTAACAAAATGAAGTTCAACGGGGACAAATGCAAGATACTCCACTTTGACAGGAAAAACGAAATGCAAAGAGACAGAATGGGGGACAATGCCTGGCTCGAGAGCAGTACGTGTGAAAAAGATCTTGGAGTCCTCGTGGACAACAAGTTAAACATGAGCCAACAATGTGATGTGGTGGCAAAAAAAGCCAATGGGATTTTGGCCTGCATCAATAGGAGCATAGTGTCTAGATCCAGGGAAGTCATGCTCCCCATACTCTATTCCGCTTTGGTTAGACCACACCTGGAATATTGTGTCCAATTCTGGGCACCACAATTCAAGAGAGATATTGACAAGCTGGAATGTGTCCAGAGGAGGGCGACTAAAATGATCAAGGGTCTGGAGAACAAGCCCTATGAGGAGCGGCTTAAGGAGCTGGGCATGTTTAGCCTGAAGAAGAGAAGGCTGAGAGGAGATATGATAGCCATGTATAAATATGTGAGAGGAAGCCACAGGGAGGAGGGAGCAAGCTTGTTTTCTGTTTCCTGGAGACTAGGACGCAATGGAACAATGGCTTCAAACTACAAGAGAGGAGATTCCATCTGAACATGAGGAAGAATTTCCTGACTGTGAGAACCGTTCAGCAGTGGAACTCTCTGCCCGGAGTGTGGTGGAGGCTCCTTCTTTGGAAGCTTAAACAGAGGCTGGCTGGCCATCTGTCAGGGGTGATTTGAATGCAATATTCCTGCTTCTTGGCAGAATGGGGTTGGACTGGATGGCCCAGGAAGTCTCTTCCAACTCTATGATTCTATATGATAGCCATGTATAAATATGTGAGAGGAAGCCACAGGGAGGAGGAGGGAGCAAGCTTGTTTGCTGCTTCCCTGGAGACTAGGACGCATGGAACAATGGCTTCAAACTACAAGAGAGGAGATTCCATCTGAACATGAGGAAGAACTTCCTGACTGTGAGAGCCGTTCAGCAGTGGAACTCTCTGCCCCGGAGTGTGGTGGAGGCTCCTTCTTTGGAAGCTTTTCAACAGAGGCTAGATGGCCATCTGTCAGGGGTGATTTGAATGCAATATTCCTGCTTCTTGGCAGAATGGGGTTGGACTGGATGGCCCAGGAGGTCTCTTCCAACTCTAGGATTCTAGGATTGTCCCCTGATCTCTCTGGGGCAACATAAAGCAAGCTTGCAGCTTCCTCAATGGGACATGCCTTCAAATATTTAAACTGGGCTCTCGTGTTCCTTCTTTTCTCCAAGCTGAACATCCCCAACTCCCTAAGCACTTCCTCATAGAGATTAATGATTTTCAGACTTTTGACCATTTTGATGGCCATTCTCTAGACCCCTTCCCACTGGTCAGTATCCTTGAATTGCTTTTCCCAAAACTAGACACAGGGTTCTTCCAGATGAGGTCTGAGTAAAGCAGATTAGAGCAGGACTTTGACTCCCCTTGAACTGAATACTATGCTCCTAGAATCCCATGGGCTTCTGCTTGTGGTGTGCTATAACTCTTGGTAGACCACAAGCTCTCCTCCTCCCAGCGCTCACCCTTCTCCTCCTCCTCCACAGAAACGTGCCGAGAGAGAGGCCCCTGTCAGCCCCAACGAGTCCTTCTTCAGCATCCATTCTGAGGGCAGCACCCAGGCCTCCAGCCAGGAGACGGTCAAGACCCGCCTGCGCTCGGCCGCCACGTCCTCCACCGGCTCCTTGCCCAGCCTCCCCTCCCAGGAGTCCCTCAACCGGCTAAGCTCCTCCTCCCCCAACGACACGGCGGCCAGCAACGCCGCTCTGATGAGCCTCCCTGGCTACCGGCCCGCCACCCGCAGCAGCTCTCTGAGGCACCCCCAGCCCACTGCCGGAGGGACCGGAACTGGTGAGTGGCGGAGGTTGCGGGTCGGGGTCCTAGGGATTGCATTCCCAGGGTGCTCAGAGCCTTTGCAAAGCAGGTCCAGGAGCCTCTTTCTCAGGTATGGGGGCAAACTTTAGCCTTTCTTCCGGGTGTTTTGGACTTCCACAAGTCAAGATTGAGACGGCTGGTATCAGTAAAGAGAGATATAAAATGATCTTCCCATGCCTGAGCTGGAATATTTATTTATGTATTTATTTACGACATTTATATGCTGCCCTTCTCACCCCGAAGGGGACTCAGAGCGGCTTACAATATATTACGATGAGACGACGCGGATGATTTAGAGTAATTATTGTTGTATTATTGATGTTATGTGCTTATTGTGTTGTATGAGGGTTGTATTGTAAAACTGTTTTTATATGTTGTACACCGCCGTGAGTCGCCCGAAAGGGCTGAGAACGGCGGTCAACAAATGCAATAAATAAATAAATAAATAAATATTATGTTATTAGCATAGTACATTATCAGTATTAAATATTACTATATTGTACTATACCATTATATTGTAATATTATTAGTAATATTGCATGTAATATAAATATATAATTATAGTATCATATTATTAGTAGTCTTGTATTGCATTACATTCTAACTAATTGTTATTGGAGCCGATCCTTGCATTTAATCGCCCAAAATGTAAAGATACAGGTTGGGAAATTTAGTTATTATTGCGAGGAGGTACATCTCTAGTTTCCCCCATATTTCTTTTATCTGAGTTTTGGTTTTGAGTGGTGGATTTTAAATGGTCACACATCAAAAGCTGCTGATGTTATGACTTAAATGAATTCCACAAGTTAGTTCACATTTGTTCAGGGTGTTAACATTGGACAACAGTGAGGTCGATACTAGAATAGCAAGGCCTCCATAACACTGCCTTTTGTGCTAAGCCGGCTGCCATTCAAGGAATTAGTGACAAAACCATTTAGAGCCATGTTGTCCACTGCCCAGGTTTTCTGCAGTAGGAGGATCCCATCGAAGGTGGGGATATAATTGCTAATTATTCACCTTGTACACCTTTGGAGAAAAAGAGTCTTTGGATCATAATAAATGACAATGATATTGTTGTTGTTGTAACTCCCATGATTCAGGAATTGCAGGAGTTGAAGTCCTGGAGGAGGGCCAGAGTTTGCTCATGCCTGCTCTACCCAGCCATGTTTTCTCTGAGTTTGGCACCAGGGCAGTGAATAAGCTGACTTTTCCCCTCCGCCTTTCCCCTTCTCAGGCCGCCGCCGCAGCAGCAGCTTCTATGTGGGCTCTTGCCACGATGAGCCAGAGCCATTGGACGAATGGAACCGAATTGCCGAACTGCAGCAGCGCAACAGGGTCTGTCCGCCTCACCTCAAGACCTGCTACCCACTGGAGTCCAGGGTGAGGACAGGGGCCTTTGTGTGAGTGGGTGGGTGATTCCATTGGGGGCTCGAGGGGAGATTGCTTGGGGATGTGAATGGAGGTGGGGTAGGATTTGTGGAGGGAAAGTTGTGAGGATTCCTGAACTGAAGATGACAAGGATTGGGTCTCTTGATGGAGATTCTGTCAGCGTTAGCGTAAGTAGCCCGCAGACTGACTCTAGCCCTTGTAACTCTAAGTGTGATAAAGTAACTCATAAAAGAAAACACTTGATTCTTCCGCTTTAAGTAGAAAGGAAATAAAGTTGTATTAACTGCATACAAAACAAAACAAAAGAATTGCTCTCACCAAAAACATAACATAAAACAATATCTTCGTTCAATGGTGATATGCAAACTTGTAACAAAAACAATATACAGTCTCTCTTACTCAGTTGTCCATAGAGTGACCTTGCCATCAATAAACTTCAGGACACTTGCAGAACTGCTTCTGGCACCAAACAAAGGTTTTTCAGCTCAGAACGAGCCCTCAAGCAAAGCATAGAAGGCAATGCTCAAAAGTACAAAAACACAGTGGCTTACTATATACTGTATATCAGGGGTCCACAAACTTTGTAAACAGTGGGCCGGGTCACAGTCTCTCAAACTGTTGGAGGGCCAGATTGAGTGAATTCCTATGCACACTGCACATATCTTATTTGTAGTGCAAAAAACCCCCCACTTAAAACAATACAATAATTAAAATGAAGAACAATTTTAACAAATATAAACTTATGAGTATTTCAATAGGAAGTGTGGGCCTGTTTTTGGCTGATGAGATAGGATTGTTATTGTTGAGTTGTTGTAGGTTTTTTCGGGCTATATGGCCATGTTCTAGAGGCATTCTCTCCTGACGTTTCGCCTGCATCTATGGCAAGCATCCTCAAAGGTAGTGACCTCACTACCTTTGAGGATGCTTGCCATAGATGCAGGCGAAATGTCAGGAGAGAATGCTTCTAGAACATGGCCATATAGCCCAAAAAAACCTACAACAACCCAGTGATCCTGGCCATGAATAGGTTGACCCTAAGCGAGGGCTGGGCAAATGACCTTAGAGGACCATATCCGGCCCCCGGGCCTTAGTTTGAGGACCCCTGCTGTATATACTCAAGTATAAGCCTAGTTTTTCAGTCCTTTTTTTAAGGTGAACAAGTCTCCCTCAGCTTATACTCGAGTCAAGGTTTTTTATTATTTTACTTTATTATTATTATTATTATTATTATTATTATTATTACATTAATCATTTTATTCCAGTCTCGATAAAATAGTAAAGAGTAGAGACATCAGACTGGCAACAAAGATCCACCTAGTCAAAGCCATGGTATTCCCTGTAGTCACCTACGGATGTGAGAGCTGGACCTTAGGGAAGGCTGAGCGAAGGAAGATCGATGCTTTTGAACTGTGGTGCTGGAGGAAATTTCTGAGAGTGCCTTGGACCACGAGAAGATCCAATCAGTCTACACTTCAGGAAATAAAGCCCGACTGCTCATTGGAGGGGAGAATACTAGAGACAAAGTTGAAGTACTTTTGCCACATAATGAGAAGACAGGAAAGCTCAGAGAAGAAAATGATGCTGGGGAAAGTGGAAGGCAAAAGGAAGAGGGGCCGACCAAGGGCAAGATGGATGGATGGCATCCTTGAAGTGACTGGACTGACCTTGAGGGAGCTGGGGGTGGTAACGGCCGACAGGGAGCTCTGGCGTGGGCTGGTCCATGAGGTCACGAAGAGTCGGAGACGACTGAACGAATGAACAACAACACAATCATTTTACTCTATTATTACATTTATATTTTGTTATTTATTGGTATTATTACATTTATTATTTTACTCTATTATTACTATTATTATTACATTTCCATTATTTTACTCTATCATTATTATATTTATTATTTTACTCTATTATTATTGGAAGGATATGTAAACACATTTACACTGAAGAAGGTTAGAATAATGCTTTAATCAGAGGACAGTCATATCTTAACTTACGGTTTTATTCAAAAACATTTAACCTACTGATGCCTCAATTAATGCAATGTTATTGGTATCTATTTTTATTTTGAAATGTACCAGTAGCTGTTGCACTTCCCACCCTCGGCGTATACTCAAGTCAATCCATTTTCCCAGTTTTTTGTGGTACAATTAGGTGCCTCTGCTTGTTTTATTTATTTATTTATTTAGGGTTTTTATAACCCGGTCTTCTCAACCTCTGGAGAGGGACTCAGGCCGGCTAACAACAGAGGATTCAGTACAATAAGATAAAGCAAATATACATCATCAATATAAAATACACTAAAATACAATTCATACCATTTACAAAAAAAGTCAGTTTGTCAGAGTGAAATCACAATATTATATTCGGGTCGGCTTATATTCGAGTATATACAGTACATGAGATAACAATACACTCAATTATCCCATCAATTAACCATGTCAGCTGCAACAGAAACAGCCCTGATCCTTTCCAAAACTACAAAATCCCATCAGCTAGATAAATCAGGCTCTGATTATTTAAGATTCTATAGTTTTCAGCAGTTTACAAGGTTTAAATCAGGGGTCTTCAAACTTTTTAAACAGAGGGCCAGGTCACAATCCCTCAAACGGTTGGAGGGCCGGATTATAATTTGAAAAACATGAATGAATTCCTATGCACACTGCACATATCTTATTTGTAGTGCAAAAAGCACTTTAAAACAATACAATAATTAAAATGATGAACAATTTCAACAAATATAAAAATTTTAGTATTTCAATGGGAAGTGTGGGCCTACTATTGGCTGATGAAATAGGATTGTTGTTGTTGTTGTTGTGTGCTTTCAAATAGTTTCAGACTTAGGTTGACCCTGAGCGAGGGCCAGGCAAATGACCTTGGAGGGCTGCATCCGGCCCCTGGGCCATAGTTTGAGGACCCCTGGTTTAAAAGGTACAAGGTGTTAGATTGGGCTGTTAATCCCTCAGCCCGTGTTGCTTTTCCATGACACTCATCTCTTGTTCCAGCTACATACCTCAGTCCTCACATTGTAAACCCCACAGAGCTCTGTGCAACAGTTGCTATTCATGCCAAGTACCAAAACTGCAGAATTCTGGATTGTTGTAGGGTTTTTTGGGCTGTATGACCATGTTCTAGAAGCAGGTGAAACATCAGGAGAGAATGCTTCTAGAACATGGTTATACAGCCCAAAAAAACTACCACAACCCAGTGATTCCGGCCATGAAATCCTTCGACAATGCATTGTGCAGAATTCACTGGAGTGCCAGGGCCCTTCAGCAGATGTGTGGTGTGCCTATCTGCCCCTGTACCCCTATGGGCTCCTTTCCTTGGCCTCACGGGGTCTCCCTTCTTCCCCTCTCTCTCCTCCTGCCTCCCCAGCCCTCTCAGTCCCTGACCACCATCACAGATGAAGAGATTTTGACCGGCGACCCGAAGGAGACGCTCCGAAGGGCCACTCTGCTGCCCTCTCAGGTGGCGGAAGGCCGGAGCACCCGCCGCAGCACCCTGAGCACTGCCTGGGCAGAAGGAGGCATTGCCACCCGGCAGCAAAGGAAGCGCCTTTCGGACGACTCCCAGCACGGCCCAGGCACCCCCGAGGTGAGCAGCCCTTCTGCATCAAATTGTTGCCTACTGTGAGGCCGCTCTGAGTCCCCTTTGGGGTGAGAAGGGTGGGGTACAAATGCAATAAATATATCAATAAATGGAAGCCCCTTCCCTTCATTTACTTCTTTTCTGATCATCAAGTGTCAGGCTTCACTTTTGGACTGAGGGCTGCTTGTGTAGAGGAATAAAGCCCTTGCCATCTCCATTCTCGTGGGGTTTTTGCAAGTCCTGATGTGAGTTTGGAGAGCCTCTTCTTCTCCCATACTTGATCTTCTCATGTTAGACAACTTAACTCAGGTAGAAATGGGGAAAGAACCGCTTTCCTCAAGGTTAAGGCCTCTGGAGTCTTCATGCAATTTCTCTGGACAGAAAAAGTGTTGTGAAACTCTGTGGCGCTCCTTTCTGAGGCAGTAGCCCCTCCCACTGGCTATATATACTCTCAAGGGTAGAGTGGGTGGGGCTACCGCCTAAAAGTGTCTAATAAGTTTTATAGAAGATTCCGAACTGTCTGCGCAGGAAATACCATATGTGCGAATTCACAGGTGACCACTCGGAGAACTACAGTTACAGATAAGCAACCTATATTTCTCATCCTTCTCTCTCTCCAGTCCAAGAAATCTGCCAGCTGCTTCCCACGGCCTCAAACCCCCAAAGGCCGGACTGAGGAGAACAAGCACAGCAGCCAAGTGGGAAGCAAGAAAGCTAAGGGCCAGGCAGCTGACAAACAGGTAAGGAAGCCCCTCAGAGACGGCCATGATCTCCCATACAAGCCCAGTGAAGTTGTCAAGGCCACTGTTGCAACCCAGATCAGGAAACAAGACCATAAGATATTAATCCACCACACTTGACTGTAGGAAAAAAAACAATCCTTTTTTATTGATAGAAATGGTTACAAAATAGAGGAAAATACAAAGTCCAAAAAGCTACAGTAAAATTCAGCAGTCAGGAATATCTATGAACTAGATCAAAATTCCAAAAGCCACACTATAAAAACCTGGAACCTGTTAGTATCACACTAACCGTACTTGGAAACTAGAAGCCTCTGGGAATGCAGGCCATGGGAACCGGGAAATCTGCCAAGGTAATGCCTCAGTCTAAACGATGCTTGATCTAACGAGAGAGCCCGGGGAGAGACACTTAAAACTAAAGAAACTGTTTCGGGACACGCCTCCAGGCTTTGAAGCCTGTGCCTCCCTTTCCTTTAATCTGCTTGACCTTCGCAGACTCTGCGATTCACTCCTGTTTTTCCAAATCTGTCCTTTTCTATCCTCATTAAAAAGGCAGGTGCTAGCTCCTCTGGAGAGCTATCACCGCTTGATTCAGAAACATTCCCATCAGGATGCGTAGTTTCACTTTCCAAGCCACTGACCTCAGAATCAACAGTTTCCAAACCTTCAGGGATAAATTCATGTTCAGTAGCCTGTTCAGTTGCATCAGGAAATACAATCAGAGAATCAGGTTCAGGTTCACACGGAGGCTGAACCCCAACAGCCACCCACTTGCAGTAGCAGAGGAAGCACACACAAGATCCCACCTTCAGAGAGTTCCCCTGTCTGTTGAGGGCAAGGAGCATCCCGCCAGAGCTGAGGGATGCCTCAGTCCTGCTCTCTCTCTTTCTCTCTCTCCTCTGCAGCCGGAGAGGCGCCAGTCCCTGGCCTTCACCCTCCTGAACACACCCAAGAAGCTGGGCAACAGCCTCCTCCGCCGAGGGGCAAACCGGAAAGTGACTCCCAAAAACTCACCCCGGGGCGGCATCCGGAAGTCTCCCAGGACATCTGCGTCTCCCAGGGGCAAGGTAGGGAGGCCGAGCTGAGCGCTTCTCCCCCTTTCGGTCTCACGTAAAGCCTTCCAAAGCAGTGGGGTCAGGAACAGAGGGATCTATTGGGAAAGCACATTAGGATCAGGAGGACAGATGTGGCGTGAAGCTCTTGGGATATTAGGAGGAAAAGGAGGTAGAAATGCCCTTCTAGCAAGGATGAAGGAGTCCATGCTCCCTGTCTTCAATATTGTGCTGGAATTGGTAGGTAGTCTTGAGGTCCCCAGCAGAACCTCAGTTTGTAAATCACCTTCTCTGCGGGCGAGAAAGGACCGGGGGGAACAGCAGATCTGGAATTTCATCTGAAAAATGTGTTGTCGAAGGCTTTCATGGCCGGAATCACTGGGTTGCTGTGAATTTTCCAGGCTTGTATGGCAGTGTTCCAATAGCATTTTGTCATTGGAGTCTACGTCCCCCCTTCCCTTGTGGGAAAGTTCGTTTCCACAACCCCTGTTTTAATGAGCCTCACTCCGCAAATAACCTGCTTCTCTATCTCACCCAAATTTTTAATTAGTTTCTCTTTTAATCATTACATGTAACCTGCCCACTGTCACCGTGATTGTGTTTACTGTAATTTTATATCGTTATGCATTCATACGTTTTATGTAATTATGATGTTTTTGTTTTTATTTTGCTGTAATTTGTTGTTTGGGCTTGGCCTCATGTAAGCTGCCCCGAGTCCCCATCGGGGAGATGGTGGCTGGGTATAAATAAAGTTCATTATTATTATTATTTTCTACTGACGTTTCGCAGGCATCCTCAGAAGTTGAGGGGTCTCTTGGAAACTAGGCAAGTGAGGTTTATATATCTCTGGAATAAGGTCCAGGGTGGGAGAAAGAAGTCTTGTCTGCTTGAAGCAAATGTGAATGCTTCAATTAGCCGCCTTGATTAGCATTGAATGACTTTGCAGCTTCAAAGCCTGGCTGGTTTCTTCCTGGGGAAATCCTTTGGATTCCCTGATGGATTCTTGTCTGGAATTCCCCTGCTTTTTGGGTGTTGATCTTTATTTACTGTCCTAATTTTAGAGTTTTTTTTTAATACTGATAGCCAGATTTTGTTCATTTTCATGGTTTTCTTTTTGTGGAAATTGTCCACATTCTTGTGGATGTCAATGGCTTCTCTGTGTCATCTGACACGGTGGTTGTTAGAAGCTTGGAAGCTGCAAGTGCAATGCTAATCAAGGTGGCCAATTGCAACATTCACACTTGCTTCATGCAAACAAGACTTCTTTCTCTCACCCTGGACATCATTCCACAGATAGATAAGCCCGAAGGTAGGATTGAGGGCTAAACTTGGGCCCTCCAGGTGTTTGGACTTCAACTCCCACCATTCCTAACAGCCTCAGGCCCCTTCCTTTTCCCCCTCGACCACTTAAAGGAAAAGGAAAGGAAAAGGAAGGGGCCAGAGGGTGTTTATAATCTATATAAATAAAAATGTAATGTTCAGTCTATTGTCGAAGGCTTTAATGGCCGGAACCACTGGGTTGTTATAGTTTTTTTCGGGCTATATGGCCATGTTCTAGAGGCATTCTCTCCTGACATTTCGCCTGCATCTATGGCAAGCATCCTCAGAGGTAGTGAGGTCTGTTGGAATTAGGAAAATGGGTTTATATATCTGTGGAATGACCAGGGTGGGACAAAGAACTCTTGTCTGCTGGAGCTAGGTGTGAATGTTTCAACTGACCACCTTGATTAGCATACAATGGCCTGACAGTGCCTGGAGCAAACTTTTGTTGAGAGGTGATTAGATGTCCTCGTTTGTTTCCTCTCTGTTCACACCTAGCTCCAGCAGACAAGAGTCCTTTGTCCCACCCTGGTCATTCCACAGATATATAAACCCTTTTTCCTAGTTCCAACAGACCTCACTACCTCTGAGGATGCTTGCCATAGATGCAGGCGAAACGTCAGGAGAGGATGCCTCTAGACCATGGTCATATAGCCCGAAAAAAACCTACAACAACCCAGTGATTCCGGCCATGAAAGCCTTGTATTGTTTATTTTGCTTATTCTCTGTTGTTTTTATTGATGTGTTGTTGGGCTTGGCCTCATGTAAGCCACTCCGAGTCCCTTGGGGAGATGGTGGCGGGGTATAAATATTATTATTATTATTATTATTATTATTATTATTATTATTATTATTATTATTGGGTTCTTGTGGGTTTTTTCGGGCTATATGGCCATGTTCTAGAGGCATTTTCTCCTGACATTTCGCCTGCATCTATGGCAAACAAACACACAAAAGTCCTCTGAGGATGCTTGCCATAGATGCAGGCGAAACGTCAGGAGAAATGCCTCTAGAACATGGCCCTATAGCCCAAAAAAACCCACAAGAACCTAGTGATTCCAGCCATGAAAGCCTTCGACAATACATTATTATTATTATTATTATTATTATTATTATTATTATTATTAGGATCTCTTTCCTTCTCTCAAATGCCACCTCCCCTTTAGGGAACTGTACTGACCATTCTGTGTGTCCTTTTGTGCTCCCGCAGGCCAACAACACCAAGTTGCTGAGAAACACAAAATTCTAATCTGGCCTTTCCTGGCTGGGAAAGAGCCCTTTTCTTCCCCTGCTGCCCTGGGCCCCATCTCCCCCAACCGAGAGGGGTCCGGAGCTGCCGCCACCACTGCTGCCGCCGCCTGAGTCACCTGCCCGCCCGCTGCCTTTCCCCTTGCTCTCCTCCTCCTGCTCACACAGGCCCTTTTAAGGCATTCACACCCCCTCCCCACCTTCATACAGTGTGTTGGGTAAAGCCAGCTTGGAAGGGCCACACACCTGCCTGTGAGCGTGCGCTGGGGATATTTGCCAGCAAATTGAGAGCATCTCCAAAGCATCCTGGGCGTCAATCCAGAATCAGAAGCATTGGGCAAAGCTGGGCAAGGGACTGGGATCGGCTCTGTAAAAACCATGGAGCAGGCCCACTTCATGCGAAGCAAGGTTTTCCCAATTGAGACCAGCGCTGCTGCCCCTTTTCCAGAAGTTGGGTGCAGAAGGGAGTTATGAGCATGCGCATTTGCAGCACCTGACTTCCCCTATCCATGCTGTGGACAGTTCTTCGTCCTCACATCAGTCCCAGCAAAGCTGCCCCCTCTCAAGATCACTTTTTTTTGCGGAAAAGCCCAGAATTGCTGAAAAATGAATACTTCCGTCAAAAGAACCAGCTCTTTGGTCCAGAAGGGAATGGGAAACCGCTCGTCCCGAGCCTCCTGCACAAAGCAGCACTGTTCTTCCAAAGCGTCTTCCACCTGTTTCCCAAAGTCACTGGAGAGCCTGAATGAGAGCAACGTGTACCTGCGAGAGCAGCAAAGCAAGGTGTTCTTGGGAGGAGGAGGAGGAGGAGTGGGGGGGGGAGGCCTCTTCTTGGAGGAGAGAGGGAGGGATGGAGGGAGGGGGCACAAGCAAAAGCGCTTTGTACAGGCCAGCCTTCCCCTTCCCTTTTCCCCACACAGGCTTTCCTTAGCTGTGTCGCTTTGTATTGTACTCTGTAGGCACTGCTGTGGGGGGGACCCTTCAGCGCAGTGTTCCTCGGGGAGCCGGCGGCAGGTGGGTGGGTCCGAGGTTAGCTGTGCCAGGGAGTGAGGGGAGCCCACCAGGTCACAATCCAGCCCGGTCGGAGTGGAAACACAACAGGGCAGCTCTCCCTCATTGCCAGGGGTCTGGAGCCAAGGGGATGCCCAGAAAGGGGGTCTTTCCCCTCCTCCTCCCCTCCTCCTTTGCCCCGGGGGTGGTGCTGGGGCCCTGCTCCCTGTGAGAGCATTTGCTCCCCCTCTTTCTGGAGGGGACTCTCTTTCTCTTGCTCCTGCAGGGAGCAGAGCCCCTCAGCTGGAAAGGCCCAGAGAAGGAGGCTTGGTGGGCAGAAGGGGGTCTTCCTTCCCTCCTTCCTTCCTCAGTTGGGGGCTGCCCCGGCGAGAGGGCTGCTGTCGCGGCCTGGGGGAAAGGACACTGCCTGAGGGGGCCCCCCGCAAACAGCCCTCTCATTATCCGCCTTCGTAGAGAGTTTAGCAATCAGATGTGTCATTTTGAATAATGTTTTTACATGTAAATAAATGGTATTTTTCTCCCAGCCGTGGCTTCGTGTCGTGTGGTCCTGGCCCACCTGCTCAGGCTCGAGTCTTCCTGGCAAGTGAGGACACAGGGTCAGGTCAGCCTTCTTCCCAGAGCAGGATGACATATACCCTGGGTACATATAGTCCTGTGGTCCGTGGATCACCAGTGGTCCACAAGAACTAAAATGTGGTCTGTGGTCTCACCGTTACTACAGTCTTCCCTCAGTTATCGCGAGTGTTACGTTCGAGGACCACCCGCGAAAAGTGAAAATCCGCAAAGTAGGGACGCTCTCTCTCTCTCTAATGTTCGTTTGTGAAATTAATATAACTCAAAAACTACTGGACAAATTGACACAAAATTTGGACACTACATCCCTAACAGACCAACAAGTGACCATCACTCATAACACACACACACACCCTCAAAAAAGCGGAAAGGACTTAAAATGCAAAAAAGCTAAATGACAATTCAGAAAAAAGAGAAGTCAAGAGGGAAGGAAGGAGAGCAAGAAATAAAGAGAGAAAGAGGGAGGGAAAGAAAGAAGGAAAGAGAAGGAAGGAAAGAGGTAGAGAAGGAAGAAAGAAGAGAAAGAGTGAGGGAAAGAAAAAAGGGAAGGAAGGAAAGAGGGAAGGAAGGAGTGCAAGAAATAAAGAGAGAAAGGGAGGGAGGGAATGAAAAAGAAGGAAGAGAAAGGAGAAAAGAGTGAAGGAAAGAAAAGGGGAGGAAGGGAAAAGAAGGAGAGAAGGGAAGGAAGGAAGGAGAGAAAAATAAAGAGAAGAGGGAGGGAGGGAAAGAAAGAAGGGAAGAGAAGGAAGGAAAGAAAGAGAGAAGGAAGAAAGGAGAAAGGAAGGAAAAGAAAAGGAGAGGAAGGAAATGAGAGAAGGAAAGAAAAAAGGGAAGGAATGAAAGAGGGAAGGAGAGCAAAAATAAAGAGAAAGAGGGAGGGGGGGAAAGAAAGAAGGGAAGAGAAGGAAGGAAAGGTAGAGAAGGAAGAGAAAGAGTGAAGGAAAGAAAAGGGGAGGAAGGAAAATTACAAATAAGCCAAATTGCCAAGATAAAATCATATCTAACTCAAGTCCATATGTGTGGTCGATAACTTTGTTCTGTAGCCAGTATCAACCATTACTCTGGGAATGCTTCTTTCCATAGCCAGGATTTCACCAGACTCCTGAAGGACAGGAGGGAGGGGGCAGATCTGATCTCAATCAGGAGAGAGTTCCATAGCTGAGGGGCCACCACAGAAAAGGCCCTGTCTTGTTCCCGCCAGACGCGATTGTGAAAGTGCTGGGACCGATAGCAGGTCCCCACCAGAAGATCTTAATTGTCTTGCTGGTTCATAGGAGGGAATACATTCAGACAGGTAAACTGGGCTGGAACCTTATATGGAACCTTATGGAGGTCGGGATGCTTTGCTGGAGTGTTTGGGACATTTCACCTTCAAAACAAGAATTGAGGAGTAGAGGGGGGAGATTGGAGAGAGGATAAGAGGTATGGCCCACTGAGACACAGCCTCCAAGATTTCAGTGTTGTTACAGCTTCCCCACTTAAGCTCTCAAACCCTACAGTGAGACAGCTGAAGGTGAGAACGGGAAAAAACACAAACGAAAAGATAGTTGTCTCCAGGTTTTATTTGAAAGAGAGACTGCCTGGTGCTCTGAGCCACAGAGGGAGTATACAACCCCAGGCATTTCCCCGTCCGTTGTCGTCTCTCTTGAGAAGGCTGCCAGCAGAGCAAAGAGGAGGAAACGCAACCCATGCGGACAGCAGGACTTTAGCTAGGCATTCGTCCCTTTCCAATGCACGTGCACTCCCATTTCTTGGGCTTCTTCTCCCTGCAATACCAGGAAAGGGAGGTATTATTATTATTTTAGGATGCTCAAAACCAACTTTTATTTATTTGTTTGTTTACAGCTTTTATATTCCGCCCTTCACCTCACCCCGCAGGGGACTCAGGGCGGATTACAGTGTACACATATATGGCAAACATCCAATGCCAATTTTTAACATACAAACATATACAGACATAGACAGAGGCTATTTATTTAACTTTTTCTGGCCACCAGGGGAGCTGTCGCTTTCCTCGTCCATCTGCGACGCTGATGAAGCACTTCCGCATTCCCCGCATGCTTCCCCGCTGGAGTGCTTGCTGGAGTCATTTTTATGGCCTCATAAATCAGTTAATTTAGCCTCCCCACACTTTAAGGTGGTACCTAATTTTCCTACTTGACAGATGCAACTGTCTCTCGGGTTGCAAAGGTCGACAACAGGCTACACACAAATTGGTTGGAAACCCACTCCAACCCGGGCTGGCTTCGAACTCATGACCTTTTGGTCAGAGTGATCTTAATGCAGCTGACACTCAGCCAGCTGCGCTACAATCCCGGAAACGCATAAACCAAGAACTCTTTGCAATTCGTTAGGTACACATACAAAGGGACTTTTCCCCATTTGCAAAACTTTTCCCAGACTTCACAACCTACAAGTTGGACTCTCTTCTTCATCTTCTTGCAAAGTTCCTCCCCAAAAAAATTCATCGAAACAGGAAAGGAACCTGGACAACACTGTCTTTTAATTATTATTATTATTAATTTATATTTTATTTAATTATTTTAAAATATGTTTATTATTATTAATTTAATTAGAGCCCCTGGTGGGGCAGTGGGTTAAACCCCTGTGCCGGCAGGACTGAAGACCGACAGGTCGCAGGTTCGAATCTGGGGAGAGGCGGATGAGCTCCCTCTGTCAGCTCCAGCTCCTCGTGCGGGGACATGAGAGAAGCCTCCCACAAGGATGATAAAAACATCAAATCATCCGGGCGTCCCCTGGGCAACGTCCTTGCAGACGACCAATTCTCTCACAACAGAAGCGACTTGCAGTTTCTCAAGTCGCTCCTGAGACGACAAAAAAAAAAAATCAGTTTATATACTGCTTTTCTCAAACCCTGGGGCAGTGCTCTTTGATTGTAGATTAACTATAAATCCCAGCAACTACAACTCCCAAATGACAAAATCAATCCCCTCCAACCCCACCAGTATTTAAACGTGGTTGCATTGGGTATTTGTGCCAAATGTGGTCCAGTGAATGAAAATACATCCTGCATATCAGATATTTACATGATGATTCAGAACAGTAGCAATGAAAGTAATGTTATGTATTGTCGAAGGCTTTCATGGCCGGAATCACTGGGTTGTTGTAGGTTTTTTCGGGCTATATGNCGGCGGAAGGGGTCTCACTTCCGCTTTGGTGTCAGCGGGTCTCGTTGAGGAAGGAAGGAGGGAAGGGAGCGCGCGCGCCTGGCAGGTAACCAACCGTCGCTCGGCCTCTCATTTGTTGTCTACACGGACCGCTTGGGGGTCTCCAATTCGGGTTAGAGGTGAAGAGGGGATGGGCGAGGGATGAGGAGCAGAACCACAGACTTTGTTTTCCTTCCTCCCGTCACCCATCCTTAAAGGGGAAGCCTCCTTCCCTGTTTCTTCCAACTGATCATACACAGTGGTGATGGGAATGAATGATAGGCTTGGTTTTTGCCCCATTTGACATCATTAATGGGGGACCACTCTTTTCCCATTTCTCCCCAGTCTCTATCCCTTGGGCAAGCTTGGGCCCTCCAGGTGTTTTGGACTCCAACTCCCACTATTCCTAACAGCCACAGCCCCCTTTCTATCGACTGTAAGGAATTGTGGGAGTTGAAGTCCAAAACACCTGGAGTGTCCAAGCTTGCCCATGCCTGATCTAGACACTATACTCCTATTCATATAGGCTAGAATTGTATTTTTTTTAAAAGCTTCCTCCTCACACTATTGACTATGTTCAGCTTGTGGTCTATTAAGACTTATAGATCCCTTTCACATGTACTATAGGAACCCCAGGTGGCGCAGTGGGTTTAAACCCCTGTGCCAGCAGGACTGAAGACCGACATGTCACAGGTTCGAATCCGGGGAGAGCACAGATGAGCTTCCTCTAGCACAGTGGTTCTCCACCTTCTGAATGCCGTGACCCCTTAATACAGTCCCTCATGTTGTGGTGACCCCCAACCATAACATTGTTTTTGTTGCTACTTCATAACAGTCATTTTACTACTGTTAAAAATCATAATGTAAATAATCAGATATGCAAGATGTATTTTCATTCACTGGACCAAACTGGGCACAAATACCCAATGCACCCACATGTAAATGCTAGTGGGGTTGGGAGAGGATTGATTTTGTAATTTGGGAGTTGTAGTAGCTGGGATTTATAGTTCACCTATAATCAAAGAGCATTCTGAACTCCACCAACGATGGATTTGAACTCCCATGACCAACAGAAAACACTGGAAGGGTTTGGTGGGTATTGACCTTGAGTTTGGGAGTTGTAGTTCACCTATATCCAGAGAGCACTGTGGACTCATGCAATGGTGGATTTGGACCAAACTTGGCACAAATACTCAATATGCGCAAATGTGAACACTGGTGGAGCCTGGGGAAAATAGACCTTGACTTTTGGGAGTTGTAGTTGCTGGGATTTATAGTTCATTACAATCAAAGAACATTCTGAACTCCACCAATGATAGAATTGGCTCAAACTTCCCACATGGAATCCCCATGACCATCAGAAAATACTGTGTTTTCTGATGGTCTTTGGCAACCCCTCTGACACTCCTTCGCGACCCCCTCAGGGGTCCTGACCTCCAGGTTGAGAAACACTGCTCTAGCAGCTCCAGCTCTCACACTATTTATTTATTTATTTATTTACTTCACTTGTATACTGCTCTTCTCAGGCGACTCAGAGCGGTTAACAACCAATTCAACAGTACAAAACAGATCATTAGTCAATTAAAACAGCAATATCAATTCATTCACATCAAAACATCAATCCAACAACACACTATTGACTCATGTTCAGCTTGTGGTCTACTAAAACTTATAGATCACTTCCACATGTACTATAGGAGCCTCCGGTGACGCAGTGGGTTAAACCCCTGTGCCAGCAGGACTGAAGACCGACAGGTCGCAGGTTCATAGAATCAAAGAGTTG